TAATGTGAATACTTGAATGCCCAAAAGGTTCATCTTTTATTGAAAGAATCGGGACAATTCATGCATCCTGATTATCCCTTGAAATTATCTATTTCTTACAGCTGTTCAGTTCCTGACATTTCCCCAGGTAGTTCATTGTGTCATTTGTTGCCGTGTAGCTCATTTACAACACCCAATTTGAAGCAAGATGCAGGGAAAGTATTGGGTTACTGATGGATACATACTTCTGAAATTTGGTCTAGAAAGTTATTAGAGGTCAAGCAGCAATATGGCTGACAAGTTAATTGGACTATTCTTAGATTCTTGCTAGTGCATCATCTATATACAAGCAGTGATTTTGAATAGGACAGTATTTTGTTAAGAACATGCCCCAGAAGATTATGCTGGAATAAATGCTATCATTTATGAGAATTTGATATTCTCGTATGCTCTTTAAATTTAGGATCTAAATTGCCACAGCTGAAAAATCTGTGGGTATAAAACGCTGTACATAAATATAAAATACATTATATAGGGTCCCAAATGTTAAATATCACCTCTAAACATAGAGAACATAACTGCTTAATAATTGTTGTTTATGGGGGGAGTTACACAAAGCTCCCATTTCCACAGGGTGGGACGCAGTTTGGGAAGCACTGCTGTAAGGTGTGTGGAGAAGGGTTTGGTTTGTTTTCCAACTAGGAATCAACAGTTGGTTTTTTTCCTGGTATGCCTCCAGTTTGGTACCTCAATTGTTGATTATTTCTGCATGCTGCTTCAAACCCATATGCTGGCACAGCTGAAGGATACTGAGAGGTCCACAGTGTCACGGAGATCAGCGCAGTGGTGCGTCCCTCTCTGATGACACTACAAGTGTCTGGTACGTCTCAAATGCAGGCAGTCCAGGCTGCTCTCCAGTTGTCCACAGCTGTTTTGGGAATCCTGGGTACAGTCACCTGAAGACTTAGCCCAGGTTTGGAAAGGCAACACCTGAGAGCATAGCCTGCACAGTATAACCTTTGCTCTGAGCAAGTGTCTCTACTTGTTGAACTAATCAGTAATTTGGGGGTTCTGGTGCAACTCCTTTATAGTATTAAGAGAGCATCAGAGACGGCACACTAGCCTGCTTCTTCAGATGCAAAATATACCTTTTGCATACTTCAGTGTTTTGTAAATCATCTCGCGACCCCGGCTGAGGGCTGCTGTTGGGAAGCGGTATGAATCCTTGGAGATTTGGTGTTAATGCTGGTTCATGTGCAGTCTAATGCCATTTGCCAACTGGGGTCCACCAGTTGTTGTGGATTAATTAGATACTGCTAGACTTGAGCAGTTTGGAAGGGAGTTTGCTGGAGAAAGCTAGGATTTCAAAATGTTACTGTCTCGGGGGCAAACACTCCTTCCATGTGGGGGAACTGTACATGTTTGATATCTATGTTTGTATGCAAGAGAAACAATAGAGATCTAGGTCTATACCTTACTAATATGCAGTAAATGTGTGAACAGCATAAGGGTGCAGTGTAGATGGTTAGGGCATTAGGCTGGCACCTATATGAAGAAAAAACGATTGCATGTTATATTGTGCTTTTGTCACCCTCAATATTGAGATGCATAAACTGTGAGTACTTGCTGATCAGCATGTGATCAGCATCTGCAATGGATGTCTCAAAATGGGAGTAGTTTGGAATTCTTTTAAAGTAGAAACAGTAGGACAGCTGATTGCTCACAATGTGCTGCACGAATGTTGCGTGGAGGCAATATTTCAATGCCACAGATTTTATCTGCCATCTCAAGGTATGAGTTTAACCTGGATTTTTAAAGGTGGATAAGTTAAAGAGACGCAGGACTTGGTGGGGGGGGGGGGGTGTTACTTTGAGCGCTTAAACATCCAAAGAACTGAAATTGTGAGTATTTGAGGTCAAATAAACATTCCAACTATTCAGCCATCTCGTTTTAGATGCCACCAAGCAGCAGGTATGTATCTGGACCTCCACTTCTAGAGCTGCACAGTGCCTTTCGAAGATGCATGCATGCAGATGCTGCTTGAAGATGGTCATTTATCTCCCAGGTGTCATAACACTGATATGTGGACGTCTGGTGTGTCACTCGTGTTATCAAGAAGCTTACAGTAGCTGCACAGTGGACAGATGTGAATTACAACGTTCAGAAGGCAGGACTTTAAGCTTATGAGTTGTTGTATACATCCATCCATTTTCACTCCTCTTCTCCTGGTGAGGGTCGCTCTTGAGTTGTTACATAAAAAATTAAAACAATAATACCTCCAGCTCGGTACGAGTTCACTCGTTTTGTAGCTTAACTTTGATGCTGATGCTTTTTAAGAAAACCCCAAATATAGCAAGGCTTATGAAAACTGTTAACGGTGCATTTACCATTACATTTTTAAAAGAATTAAATGATTAGTGAAGTATATTTATGAGATACCAATTTTATTTTGTGTTAAGAAGTACTGGTGTTGTTTTGATAAACTTCATAACGTCTCTTAGTTTTCTGTAGGTAAATTGTTGGTTAGAGCATTTTGTTAACCGTATAGTAGAGTGTGTGACTTTACAGAGTCTGTAGCTTTGGTAAGGTTTGGAATTGTTTTGTAGAAGTAAATGAAACAATTTCAGATTCCAAGAATGCTGAGATAAATGTTTTTTATGCCTACAGTTTTTCTGTTGACAGTCATTTCTCATGAAGTACAATTGTGGATTTCGATGTGGCAGTAGCTGACAAGAGATAAGAGTAAGAGAACTCCGATGCAGTCATAAGTAAGACCTTTAGGGATAATTTTGTGTACTTTGTGAGAGTTTTTGTTTTTGCTTGGGAATTTGGAAATCTGTCATATTGTATGACAGATTTTTTTTCTTTCAAAAAAGAAATATGCATAGGGCCAAATTGAAATGTTAAATGCTTGCATGCAGGAATCGAAAAAATTAGATTGCTGGAAACAATGGGTCATTGCTTTTTATAAACTTTAACATAACCTGATTTAGCACAGTGTCCGTCAATAATTTGTGATTTACCCCCAAATCCACTGTTATAGTATGGGTTTCATTCATATAGATGCAGATTGATGCTGAATTTTGTTTAATTGCACAGTAGATTTAAATGCACTTCATATGGCTACATTATTTTAAGTATAGTAGGATTCTATCTCCAAAAATACTGCATTCTTTCATTTCCTGATCGTGTAACTAATGTATTATTGCCAATGTTGTCACTGCATCCTTAAATACCCATCCTGGGAGAAGGAGGGAGTTCAGAGAAGCTCAGACAGGAAATTCGGTGCTGGTTGGAAGAGACATGGCCATAACTAGCCTACAGGCGCTGTGAAGTCACACAAGTCTTCTGAAAGTTTTGCTGCTGAAAGCCAAGGAGCTGTGGTTCGCTAATCCTAAATCTGCTCCCTGCAGAGCTGAGCGAATTGTGCAGCACCACTTTGGGAATCCTGGTCATATCACAAGCTGACTGACTCAGACTAGGAGCACAGTGTCTGGATCACAGAGCTCCACCTCTGTGGAGTGTGCATGCTTTAACTGGCTGAGCCAAATAAGGAATTCCAAGCCTTTCTTGTTTTGAATTGTTCACATGCACATAGGGATATATTTGCACAAGAAGCCTTAGGTGGTCTAAGATTTTAAAGCACGGGAGAACGTGGTGAAGATCATTATATAATGATCTTCATTATATAAGCGCTTTGCAGCGCTTATTCATATGCAAATCTATTAATTCCAAAAAATGAAGCTCTAACGGTAAGCTTTTTTTAACATGCTTATAATATATCTGTGTTTTTATTGGTATACAGTAAAAATAAACTGCAGGGTACTTCTTTAAACAGTAGATCACGAATTAGCTTTCCCATTTTTAATATGAGAAATGATTTATAGCTTTCTTGTGAGAAAATTTGATTTGTTTTAATTGAATGACCCAGCCAAAAAAAAAACATTTTAGAAAATGAAATGCAATCACAGCATAAAAGCTCTTCAAACGTCAGAGACAATCCTAGAGCAGATGCATCACTCCTTAATAACCAGCAATGCAGTTATAGAAATTTACATGTATACGGGGGGGTTGAAACAAGAGATACAATCAGCACTTTGTAAGTAGATATTCTTCTGCAATTTCTTATTGGTTGAACATTTTGTTAGTCCTTGAAAACCAAATGACATTTTCTAAATGTATAAATATCGCCTCTTTGAAATAACCGATTCACTAATCTATGTCAAACTGAAATGATAACTTATTCTATTCCTCTGGCCTTTTAAACATTACAAAATTGTGAATATTTTTTTAGATGTAACCAGTGGTATCACTTTGTATGTGTAGTATGCAATACAGACCTAGTGTTTTGAGGGAACTTGAATATGTTCAAATCAGAAAAAAGCTACTGTATTGCAGAGTTTAGCCTTGTTTGACATGAATTGCTGCTTCAGTGTGTTCCTGGTTCTTAATCAGCATCACCCATCTGCTTGGTGTTTAGCAGACACAGATGCTGATTATGTATTGCTCTTTCAACATTCAAAAAGGATACCCTTTGGAAAACTAAGTCCCTACAGAAATCAGATAAACTTGCACATGGTTTAGTCTGTCGACTTTGTCATTTAAAATGCTTGTACAGTATTTCTAAAGTATTTTCTTTATTTTTAAATTCATAAATGACCATTGGTTAATAGAGGAGAGAGTGCATACAAATCTTTCTGAAATTAGAAGGAAAACAGTGTTCTGTGTTAAACAGTCTCTTGCTGTACATCTCGTTGAAATAAAGTGCTGAAATGCAGTAGCAGGAAGACACAGACAAGTGTTTAAATAAAACACTGCCACATTGTTATAACCTTGTTCTCATTGGTGAATGCATTCTTTACATCAGTCACATTTTTTCCTGACTAAATAAAGTGTTTGTGAACGCTGATCCTGGCACTCAGATGAAGGTAATTTATTACACTGATGGAGTTTTACATTGTGTTACTCTGATCTTTTTACAATGCAAACACATGAGGAAGTATTTGTATTTAATTTTTCAGGACGAATACATCAGGCTATGGTCACATCCTTAAATGAAGACAATGAAAGTGTCACGGTTGAATGGATAGAGAATGGTGACACTAAAGGAAAAGAGGTATGTTTCCATATTTGTCCCGATGAACAGTTTCATAAAGCTTTTTTGTACAAATCTGTGCAATATAATATTTAGTTAAGGATGCAGTGGGTAATGGATAGCTACCTATCCTTTGTTTAATGGTATTCAGCCATATTCCTGACATATTATTTAGAAAATGCACACTTAGGAAAACAAAACAGCCAGTTTGATAATCAGCTTTGGTAATAATTGTGTTTGGGCAAAGCAGATAGATGTTTTGCAGTGGATTATTCTTTCTATGGAGTCACCAGTTTGTGTTAACAAGGGTCACATTCCAGGTTTCTATATGTGGTAAATGTTCTGCAGATCTTAGAGCAGTGGAGAAGGTTTGACTTCATTTGTCAGGTTTAAGCCATAAGTAATAAACCAGTTTAAGACTTTTCTTGAGGCCTTCTGAAACTGATCTGAAAACATCGAAAATATCTACTGGATGGTGGCTCTTCAAGAGTAGATTTAGGAATCTCTGGTGAAAAGATTGTAAAATGATAAAGCAGCGATTTGAATTCACAAGAATGATTTGTTTAAAATGGGATGATTTTATATTTTAATAGATTGACTTGGAGAGTATATTTGCACTTAACCCTGATATCGCCCCTGATGAAGACATTGCTCCTAGTCCTGAAACCCCACCTCCACCAACGCCAAGCTCTGTGAAAGTTAACAAGATAGCAAAGGTTTGTCTCTTGCATGATGGCCTACAGTGTATTTCCTTGTGTTTAGTGGCAGAGATGCCTAAGATGGCCTTTGAAAATTATAAGACAGTGAAGAAGACAGTAAAGGATAATCTTGCACTTCTGTTTTGGTTTAGCTGGGGCTACCTAATACTTAATTGTAGGAAACACTCTTTTCTACAACTTTTATGTCTTTTTTTCTTTCATTTTTGTTATTCTTTTTGTATCCATAGACAAGGTGAAGTTAAATGTACAGAACAGTAAGGATATGTTGAGTGAGATGGACGAATATAAACCTAGTTTTATTTTAATTATTTCAAAACATCGAGGAAGCACAGTGGCCCTTCTGGAATGCCTATGTTCCTCACCTTCCAGGTTCACAACTGTATTTGTAATTTTAACGAGATGTTTATGGGTCTTTAAAAGCCTAACTACTGGGGTGTGAATAAATATGGATTTCTTACTTTATGAACTTGAATTAAGTATATATAATTATTTATGAGTTAATTGTAATGATATTGTTTCCTTTTTAAAGAAGGAAACATTATCCTATATGTATATATTTATGTTATTTGATGTTTGTTGTTCATATTTCATGATACTTTTTGAAGGGAACAGTATCCTTAATGTTTTATGTCCCGAAAAGCTATTAAGGGTGCTACTTTTATTTTTCTAAACTTTTATTTACAGAATCGAAGAACACTAGCACCCACTAAAAATGAAACACCTTCCAGAGATAACAGAGGTAACGTTTTGCAGCACTACTTTGTTCATTATGTCATTTTAATTTTAAAGGCTTCATGACTGTGCTGATATTGAGACATATTTTGATTTTGAGCATTTAAATAATACTACTACAAAACTGCCAGCATCTATCTCACCCTGCAACTCACAACTGGCAGCCCACTGAAGCACAGCAGGTGTGACCCCAGTCAGTACCTGGATGGGAGACCTTCTGGGAAATCTCAGGTTACTGCTGGAAGAGGTGTTAGTGGGACCAGTAAGGGGATGCTCAGTCTGTGGTCTGTGTGGGCCCTAATGCTCCAGTATAGTGATGGAGACACTGTACTGTAAAAAGACCAAACAAGGATGCCATCCTTCTGATGACATGTAAAACTGTGGTCCCCAGTCTCCGAGGTCATTACAAATCCCAGAGTGTAGGGAGTCGGGGTGTTACCCCGGTGTCCTGGCCAAATTTCCCATTAGCCTTTACCAATCACAGCCTCCTAATAACCTCCATATTTAAATTGGCACCAGTCAATGGTGGTAAAGCTCTTTGAGTGGAGTGTCCAGAAAATCACTAAATATGTGTATAAAATAGTATAAGATGAATGCATATTTAAGTACAGGGCTTTACAAAAGTATTCAGACGCTTGCACAATTTTCACATTAATTTGCTTTAAAGTTTGCAGTCATGATATTTTAGTAGTATCAATACTTTTATGTAGGACCAGGTAAATGTTTATTCCACGCTGAAAGGGAAAGCAAAAGGGACGCACCATTTCCACTGCGGAACCTTCTTCAGGTGTGTGGCTCCACAGCCGAAACGTTGTCTCTTTTCTTTCCCTTTCAGCGTGGAATAAGCATTTACCTGTTCCTTTGCAGCCTCTGTGTGCTGACACAGCTCCCTACTTATACTTTTATATATTCAACTTGCTCCAATCGTTCAAAGGAAAAAACTAAAGGAATTAAATAGGTATTCAAACTTATGGGTAACTTGAGAGACAACAAGTACAGTAAATAGAAAGCAAGGGCTTTCTTCAGGTAATATCCCAGCATGCTTATGGTCATATAAAAAAGTGCTGGACAGGCCTGTTTGCCCATAGTTCTGGCTAGCATGGTTGCAAGAGGGAGTCCTCAGTGGCTTTCAAAGAGGGTTGACTGTTGAGGTACATTTGGTAGTAACTTAAGAAACCCAACAGTACACCATGCAGATGTTTCATGAGCAGCAATGCCTAATCTGATGTCAGCATGGAATTGAGGGAATGATATCATCATCAAAGGGTAACGATGGGCAGATGTACATTCTCCAGGATCATGATACCTGTGCATCAGTTCAGATTGCAAGGCAAAACAAGTTAGCTGCTGAGTAGAAACTGATCAGCACACTTGCGGGTCCAGTGGTTCAGAGAGCACAGGCAATAAGCTATTAAGCGGTGAAGAAATGTGTTATTGTCAACTGAATAATTTGTCACCATATTCTTGACAAATGGACAAGTGCACATGTAGCACCGTCTTAAAGGACTCTACAGCCCTGAGTGCATAGATACCACCAGTGAAGGGTTTGTACAGTGTGGATGCACTCATTCCCTTGGAAGGAAAGCTCAATGCTCACTTTCTAGCTGCTGGGAAGTGTGTATTCCAGACTGACTTTTCCCGCATCTACAGAGTTCGTGTGATCACAATGACTGATGTTATCCATATGTTCATATGTCAAGGTCCACCAGATATTGAATCCGTGGATCTGAATAGTTATGCAGTCGACAGATCTTTATAGTTTTTAAAGAATGTTTATAAGTATTTCTTTTTTTAGTTCACAAAATATGACCATAGGAAGACTCAAAATACATTTGCATAGCACTGTAGATGTCTTCATGAACATATGCACTTACCGGTCCACTCGTGACTTTATTTTGCTTTGCAGTTGGGTCTGCTCGAGCACGGCCCAGTCAGCTTCCAGAACAAGCACCGCAGCCTGCAGCACAACAGCAGCAACAGCAGTCACAGCAACAACAGCAGCTGCAGCAGCAGAATGGTAGTATTACAGATATTTCACCAGCTCAACAAGCAAAAAAGGAATTTGGTCTTCCTTGTATGTAAACATTTCTCTTTCAGGGTGTCAAACCATGTTATAAACATTGGTAGTACTTGTTTTTCAGTTCTTTTAGGTTGGGGAGAATAATAACAGTAGTCAAATGCTTTATTTATCTCCTTTTGTGAAATTGTTCATAGCAATCCATTTGACGGCACTTTGAAGTTCCACCAGTAATATCTACATGGGCTGAGCAGGCTCAGTTGCATAATGTAGCTTCCCTTTTTAGATCTTGGTTTAACCAAACAATACACGAATTACAGCTTAGTCTCAGTGTGCGACTATTTCCTAAATTCTCAGTGTAATGGTCGATATATATTTATTTTCTCTCTCAGTAAAAGCTTATGATTTAAAGGGAAATTGCCAAAGTACCAGAGTAGAGCAGCGTACACAATCACAATAAGGATTTGTGAAATAGGATTGGGAGAATAATCTTTTTAATCTTTTATGGTTAAACGCTTTGTAGTTTGAATATAGCTATATCATTAAAGTGCATTTGAATCCATGTGAAAATAGTACGTGTGTGTGTAAATATGAGAATGTCTGAATAACTCATTCCCGCGATAATGTATTTATTTGTGCTTAGTTACTTACATTTAGTTTCAAAACTGGTTCAGACATGTGTTTCATCATTAAATCAGGAATATCAGAAATCTGTGCCAAGCTTTTGATTTAACAAGTCCGCTGCATTTTACCATTGGTGCAGATTTTCTCCCTGAAACGTGTTTCTTTAAAGAGACCGGAAGGAGAGAAAGCACTGGGTGCCACATTAGGATTCCCTGGCTTCTTTAAACAGACAAATGGATGGGTTCCTTGTGGGTCTAGTTCTTAGAAACCAACGAAACTATATTGATTGATTGAATGGCCTCCTTTTCATCGGTGTCCGTTTTTATATATATATATGTGTGTTCTTGTTTTCAAATGGACACTTGGCCCTCAGACTTGACAAAATGCTGTCATGAGATGACTCTCTTGCTACTCATGTAGGGAAGTCAACACTGACTTCCCAACCAGGTACAGTAACTAAATGTCAGAATCTGCGGTTCCTCTCATAATAATTCGGATTACTATTACACTGTTTTAAAACTAGCCCTAGACCTGGTAGGTGGATAGAAATTAAACATTTGTTTTTTAAGTGTAACTTTGCCTTTTTCTGTTTTCTTCTAGATTGTAGAAGAATTTGTTTAAATAAAAACTTAATTGGTACTTTTCTGGAGTATTTTAAATGTAAAATTGAGAGCTGTATTTATAACAGTAAAGTATCTTAACTTCTAGTTAAACTCTGCAATTACTTTCTCAAGTAATTAGGCAAGAGTAAATTAAATATTTTTTTGTGTATTTAAGTAGTGAATAAGAGGGAGTTAATAGTGTTTAGTATTTTTTAATAATTCCACTGATTTTTTTTTTTAATCTGATTTTTGTTTCTCTTCCTTGTTTCTGTTTCCGATGTCTGTGCATCTTATTAAAACCTGTCAGCTCTTTTGTTGATTTGCAGGCTGGTCAGAATGGTAACTGTCATTTGTTTGAACAGGTTAAAGGGTCCTGTTTCAGTGTGGCTGTGTAAGGGGAAGAATGCTTGTTCTCGCTGAAGAACACATATCTTGAGGCAGTCCTGTCTGGCACAGAGAACAAGTGGGCTTTTAAATAGTTTGCCAGATACATATCTGATGATGCTTTATGTAAAGATGCCCTGAATCTAAAAAGAAGCCATTTTATCATAATTCAGTGGAATGTTTGTTTTTTAGCTCGCAGAAAATCTAACTGTGTCAAGGAGGTAGAAAAACTGCAAGAAAAAAGAGAAAGAAGAAGGTTACAGCAACAAGAACTGAGAGAGAAAAGAGCACAGGTACATTTTCTGTTATTAAAAGTGTTAGATTTTAAGATATTTTCAGAGAGGGGATTTTGCTTTCTCTAAATTGTGGTTGTGGTTCAAATTGGCAATAAAGGGTTTGAAGAATTTTACACATTGAGACTTTATCATGTTATCCAGTTAATCTGTCTAAAATTTCTAAACTTTTGCAGCGGTTTTTTATAGCACTTTGAAATCTGTGGCGTATAAATTAAGTAAATTTGTATTTCAGAACTATTTTTCTATTTTTGCCATAGTTTCAATGTATAGTTTAAGTATTTCTTCACATTTATCCTACCTTTGCTGTAAAAAGAGGAATAAAAATCTATGCTTACATTTATATGTAAACCTTTATTTTTTAGGGAACTAGGGCGTAGGTATTTTTTTTCCTATTAGGTAGAGAATATGTAGAACTGTTTTGATGTACACTTCTAGAATTCCCAACTTCACCTGAACCTTTGAGCTTTAGTAAGAAAAAAAATGAATTTTTGCTTTAAATCTGTTTTTTTGTATCTGTTCTATGCCGGAATTTTTTTTCTTTATGTAACTGTCCTGTAAAAGACATGAGACATTGGCTGGGTTTTAGATTAATGCCTTAGGTTTGTGTTATGGCAGTTTGGAGACAGTTTAAACTGCTGCCTGTTTCTGTCATTGAGTTTAATCCCCATATGTAGCCCTGTTGAACTGTTATGTTGTAATTTTTTATTACATTTTAATTGCTTTCCTGTAGGAAGTTGATGCTACAAATCCAAACTATGAAATAATGTACATGATCAGAGATTTCCGGGCAAGCCTTGATTACAGACCATTAACAACTGCTGATCTGGTAAGAACGTGCTTTCTAACTTTTCACTATTCAATGACAGTGGTGCCTTGTCAGGATATTTTAATTTCAGGTTAAGGACATTTTCTTAAATCTACTCTTTTCATTTAAGGTAAAACATTGCATGGAAAATTAAAATTGTTTGAAATAGTTTAGTTACAGATACATAAACACCAGCAATCATTTCAAAATTAAATTCACATTTTCTTAACACGTTCACATGCTCATTCCTTGTAAAATCAATATCCCTGTTTTTTAGATTGAAGAGCACAGGATATGTGTTTGTGTAAGGAAACGTCCACTTAATAAGAAGGGTGAGCTGATTTATTATTTTTTATCCCTCTATTAAAAAGAGTTAACATTTTCACTTGTATAAAAATTCAAGCCAGCGGAGGGCCTAACCAAAGCATTGAAAGCTTTTTATTTTATTTTTTTTTCCTAAAAATGATCCATTTGTTTTTCAATTAAATATCGTTGGTTACAAGATCTTATTAAAGGTGGAAAAAGGTCTGACATGATTTGTCTTGATTTCAGCCTTTACATAAAAAGGCTGAAAATTCAATAAGGGTGTGTAGACTTTTGGTGTCCCCTGTACATATATGCAGCGTTAACTATAGATCTGTCAAAAGTACACTATTAATTTGTAGAAGTTAATGTACTATGTAGATGTTGCTATGCATTGTAATATAAAAATCTGTCTAACTGATTAGGATACAACAGGTTTTCTGCTCCTGCTGTTTATTGTCAGAAGATATTGCTATTTCTAAAACATAAGGAACTTTAAAATAACCTCTTTCAAATATTTTAATGACTTCTTCTAGTATGTAACCAAGTCAGTAATATCCTGTACACAATTTCAGAAATGACCTTGAAGGATCTTGACGTCATCACTATTCCCAGTAAAGATGTTGTAATGGTTCATGAACCGAAACAGAAGGTGGATTTAACAAGATATTTGGAAAACCAAACCTTCCGCTTTGACTACGCCTTTGATGATACCACTACAAATGAAATGGTTTACAGGTATTTTAATTCACAATTTAAAGTTCCAAAGAGGCTAATGCTTTTTTAGAAGCAGACTTGTATGGGACTGTACAGTATTACAAAATATCCTGCATAATTGGAATGAACTGCATCATTTTACACATAAGACAACAAGGGGTTTCGAGAACTGTATTAAGGTAGGTTTATATTTTCTGTTTTTTTTTGTAGGTTTACAGCCAGACCTCTTGTGGAAACTATATTTGAGAAAGGAATGGCAACGTGTTTTGCTTATGGACAGACTGGGAGTGGGAAGACACATGTGAGTTTTTGGTTTATACCAATTTATGTTTTGATAGTTTTCTTCCTTAATAATAATCATCATAATAATCAGGACCTTGGTTTTACACAGACCGTAGGTCCCAATAACACCTCTTCCAGCAGCAACCTTAGCTTTCCCAGAAGTCTCCCATCAAGGTGAGCTTAGTCAGTACACTGAACTTCAGTGGGTTGCCTGTTGTGAGTAACAGGGTGATATGGCTGCTGGTTATATTTATATTTATATAGCTGGCTATAATTATTGGCAGTAAATGCCTTTAGTATATTTTGTTATGATGTAAATGCTAACATTGACATTGACATTAAATATCTTTATTCATTGTTGTTTTGTGATTGTTTTGCCCACCGTGATCCTCCAAAACTCTTATTTCACGTTTTGAATCATATAGTTTTCTTAAATGTTCCTGGACAAACTCCTTTATCAATCTTTGAATTTTATTGATATTTGCCAATTATCAGTCATTAGGTTTTGGGAATATTTCTGGTTATATGTTTGGGAACAAAATAAATGTCTCATGACAGACTTTCTCTTTTTCAGACAATGGGTGGTGATTTTTCAGGAAAGAATCAGGATTGTTCTAAAGGAATATATGCACTTGCAGGTAAGTACAACTTCAACGCCAAAGAAAACTGAGTTCAGATTTTGTTTACTTGTGCTAAACTAGGCTTTAATTTTTTTGCAGCGCGAGATGTATTTCTGATGCTCAAGAAACCGAACTACAAGAAGTTAGATCTTCAAGTGTACGCAACATTTTTTGAAATATACAGTGGAAAGGCAAGTAATAGTATTTTCTCCTAATATGAGTCACCTTTGTATGCTGGACATTGCTATTTTACAGCAATTGCAAAACCTTTCCCTATTTAGACCCAGATTTTTTCAATTAACATTTGCATTAGGTGAAGTAGGAGAGACAGTGTGGACATGACTGCATAATGGCACTTCTACACAAGATCATGCCACAGTATTTTATGGTTCGTATGCGTAGTCAACACCTAAGGATAAAAAAGAAAAAAAAACAATATTAGTAAGTAAGAGAATTTGATTAAATTCAGTTTATTCTGAAGGGAATGGAATAGTTGTTCACAAAATTCTGTTCCCTTTCTTTCCCATCCATAAAGAAAGCTGAAGTACATTAATCATTGTTGCAGAATTTGGTGTACAGTGACTCTGCATGTTTTTGGGGCTATACTATGAATATTAATTGATAATGTATTTCCTTAGATGCTTTGAGAAATCATTTGAAAGAACATCAATGTTGGGCCTTAGATACAGTATATTTAGGGATGCTGTTTTTATTTAATAAGATTCATTTGTGAATGTTTTTCTAAATCAAGAAAATGATTGGCAAGTTTGCATCTGATGCTAGCTCTTGGATTGCTGGTGCTTAAGTTTTTCTTCTGTGTTTAACTTTGAAGGTTTTTGATTTGCTGAACCGGAAAACCAAACTCCGAGTTCTGGAGGATGGAAAACAGCAGGTTCAAGTGGTGGGATTGCAAGAACGAGAGGTGAAATGTACCGAGGATGTATTAAAACTCATTGAAATAGGCAACAGCTGCAGGTATGACTAGAGTTTTATGTCAAGGCTGCTACATATGTATGCACTGTACCTTAATTTAAAAAAAATATATTTTTTAGTTTTGAAAAGGCTTGTAGATACTGCATACTAATCAGACTTGTAAAGCTGTGTAAAACTCCAAGAGGATTAAGTGCTTGGTGGTGATGAGTTTTCTTGATGATTTGTCTCTGTGACCTTAACTCATATTAGCATATTAATCTTTTAGGGTATTTAATACTGTTTACGTGACACTTAGGTTTTATATTTCTGAAAGCTAATTTCAGCATTTTACTTTATTTGATGTGACATTTAATAGATAGCTACTTTAATAGTTGTTTAATGTAACCTTTGTAGTCATTTCATTAATGCAAAGAATCTGTTTTCAGAAAGTCTTTTCCATAATTTCACACTGAATATGTCATTCTTTGTGTGTAAATTCATGGTTTTGCATGTTGTATGTTTTTTCATAAGCCACTTCGAAACCTGTGAATGTTTCTTTAGTCTGTTGTTTGCAGGTAATAAAAAAAAAACATGAGAATAAGTTTACTGCAATATTTACTGAAATGTGTATATTCGACGGACTTGAAATTTGAATTTTTGTGAGGGATTTATTTGTAGTTTTAAACAGGCACCTTTTCCATTACATTTGATCAAACTTCAGTTTCAGGCGGAAGTTTTTTTTTACTGCCCGTTGCTTTGCTTTTGTCTTGAGGTGTAATTGTTCTTAAAATGTTCTTTCACAGGACATCTGGGCAGACATCTGCTAATGCTCACTCCTCAAGAAGCCATGCAGTATTTCAGATTATCTTGCGGAGGAAAGGCAAGATGCATGGCAAGTTTTCTCTGATAGATCTGGCTGGAAATGAAAGGGGAGCAGACACCTCAAGTGCAGACAGGCAAACCCGCCTGGAAGGTGCTGAAATTAACAAAAGCCTTTTGGCACTGAAGGTATGTAAAATGTCATATTGCTGGGATAACTTAAGCTGCAGGTTCAGTTCCAGAGGTAACATATACAAAATATACTATCTGAAACGTCCACCTTAAAAAATCTGAACATCTTATCGAGTTATCGCTTTCTAAAATATGCCCCGATTTATTTGAAATATTAAAGAATTTCTGTTAAATTTGTACAGGCAATCCTTTTCTCCCTACTGCTAATTTTTACTGACTGTTATCTATATATTTTAGACAAGAGTTCAGTCGACGCAAGTGTCTGCTTGCAGGGCAGGACACATCCTATAGCTCAGTGGTCAGAGGTTGTTAAAAAATCAGACTGTGCCAATTGCTGTTGGTAATAAGGAATCCTAGGGGCTGAACAAAAATGTGTAACATTACGAGGGGTACAAATGCCCAGGGGATATTTTGGTGTCCAGTGTAAGTTGTCTCCACCAGTGGGACTGGCTGGATTATGTGTGATTCTCTGCTGCATTTGATATGCTGGTACAAAATCTCAAAGGCATAAAATGGACTTTGACAGCAAGAACATCTGTCTGCCAAATCGGTATACAGCAGTAGTGCTAAGCTTTAATGAGTAAATGCAAGGTTAATCAAATGGGACTAGGCCATTCCAAATGATAGTTAACATTACATTGCAAAGTTAACAATTTAGCTCTATTAGTATTATTATTAATTTCGTTAACATTGCAAAGTTTACTTTTTTTTTTGTGTGTAATTGTAGGTAATTGTTAACCTTTGTTTTGACAGGAGTGCATAAGAGCTTTAGGACGCAACAAACCTCACACTCCTTTTAGAGCAAGTAAACTCACCCAAGTGCTACGGGATTCTTTCATAGGGGAGAATTCTCGAACATGCATGGTAAGCCAAGCCGTCTTGAAACATATCTGTAAGTTTAACGAGTAGTGTCATTATAACAGGATGAGTTTATACAGGCACTCTAACCATGACAGCACTGCAGTCTTCCTCAGATGCGGACATGGCACATAGCACGTAATTCAGATCAATTCATTTTCTTTCCAGGTGTGTACAGTATGTTTCTGTGGAAGAGTCTTTAGATTCTCATTGTGTGCCTGTCCCAGTGATGACTAGAAAAGAATATATACTGTGACTTTGAATTTCTTTTTTGGCTAAAAAAAAAGTCTGCATAGTTTTTATCGTCATTGACAATATATTAACTTGCATATTTTCTATTCAGATTGCTACCATCTCGCCTGGAATGGCTTCATGTGAAAACACATTAAACACACTGCGATATGCAAATAGGTGGGTGAATGTTTGCATCTAATTTTGCAATGAGTGGAATCGGTGCAATGTTCGAAATATTGTTGCAAAGCTTTTGAAAACAAAAGCTTAGATTTGAACATATTTCAGAAATCTCCCTAGCCACCTAGTATAAAGAAAAAAAAAACATTTTCCTGTAATTACAGACTGTTATTAGTCTGGTTGGCATGCAGGTGTGTTAAGCTCCCAGTTAATGATCCCATTTATCCTGTCCCTGTGTGTGAAGGGAAGGTAACCTTGACAATTCCATTACATTCGATTGCTTTTTCCTTCTAGGGACTTAATTAACTGTCCACCAATCAATTAAGGCTATTAAGTACTGGTTGGGTTGATCTCCCACTTTACATGGAATGGAAGTGTGAAGGTTGCTCCCTGTGCTCTATGTGATTCATTCTTGAAGAACATAGAAAATCTACTTGTGGTCAAAATATTTTTACAGTACATAACCATTTTTAGTACCCCTTTCATTTTAATTGCCCTTTAAAATGGAAATAAAACTCATAAACCTGGCTGTGGATTAATCACGTATATTTGTGCTGTGTTGCAGTACAGCAGGAAAGTAAACACCAATTCTGGAGGCATTTAGGAATTTCAGAGTTACTCTTGAAATCTTAAAACAGTGCAGAGTGGATCATTAGTGACTTTGCTATTTTTTTAACACAAGGCTGTGCTTGGGGCGTCTCTTTGCCCGAAACAGGTGTTGTGGGAAGGTGCTTGTGTGGTTATCTGTTTTGACCAGAACCTTTCCTTTCTGTTTACTGCTTTATCTCAATACTTCAGAGTAAAGGAATTTGGAATAAGTCCTTCAGACATTCCCTTCTCCCAGGGTGGCGGCAGTCGCTCTGAGCTCTCTCCTGCCTATGAGTATGATGACTTTTCTACTTCGCCCAGCAGGTGTACTTCTCCGCATTTCACAGAACCTTATTTTGTTCTCCCTTTCATTTTAATTTCTGCGGCATGGACTGCAGCGCCTCTAGACGTTCATACTTGAGTTTTTTTTTTCTTTCAGTTACATCTTTTAACTGCACTTTGTTCATTTTCTGTCAGCCATTCCAGGTGTAGCATGCATTTGTTTATCCTTTCATTTGTATCCGTACAAATGTGTTTTGTTTTCTCCTTGCTAGTTTCCCATGGCAAGCTTTACTTTTAATTTGAATTATTGTAAGACATAGGTGTGAAGAATGTAATGTCACCATATCTTGCTTTTCTAAAGAAGTCCTGGTGTTTTTTGAAGAACCAGTATCATAGAAAATACATGACATTTATAACATTTATTTCATTTGAATAACAACATCTGTCAGTTTCTTCAACAGTGCATTTTGAAGCTTTCGAAGCTTGATCCTAAATATTTAGTGTGGAATTATTATGTATGGTGTCATTACTTCAGTCTTTATCAACAAAAAATTCTATAACTACATCACAGTTAGAGAGGAGAGGAAACTGTGTAAACTGCCTCTGTCCTGTGGTCACAGAGTGAAGGAACTGACTATCGACCCGAGTACTGTCATGGAAGGACGTCCCAATATTCATGCTGTCAATCAGCTAGATCCCTTGGAGGCTCAGTGGGGTGTTGGCAGCTCTCCTCAGAGGGATGATCTAAAGCTTCTTTGTGAACAAAATGTAAGTTTGTTTTACCTAATACCTAGATGGCTACTGCTTTCCATTTTCATTATTTTCGGACAGCAACATTTTACAGACCTTGGATGTCAAAGGATCTAGAACATAAGGGTATAAGAAAACAAGAAGAGGCCATACAGAGAGTCTAGCCTGTTTAGTACTTAGGCGCTAGAGGTACCAAATATTTCATCCAGCTGTTTCTTGAAAGAAACCAGGGTAATATCTTCGACAACATGGCTACATTTGTCTTAGAAGGACAACAGATATGTTCACTTGGCTGCAGGTTATTTTGGGTGTTAATTGTGTTCTGTGATGAATTCCGGCTGCTCCCCTAGGAGGAAGAGGTCTCTCCCCAGCTGTTCACATTCCATGAGGCCGTGTCCCAGATGGTGGAAATGGAGGAGCAGGTGGTGGAGGATCACAGGGCTGTTTTCCAGGTAAAATCCAGCTGTGCTGCCAGACGTAATTTGGTATTTAATTTTTTTCATATAACAGTTTTGTGTAGCAATGTGATTCCTGTTAAATATTTGATCGTTTTATGGATAACAATAATAATTTGCACCATTTAAAGTCGTAAGTGGCATACCTATTTGTATTTAAAATGAGTTGACAGCACACATTAAGAGATAATGGAATTTGCTTTCTCTCTAGGAGTCTATACGGTGGCTGGAGGATGAAAAAGCACTTTTGGAAATGACTGAGGAAGTGGATTATGACGTAGACTCTTATGCCACACAACTAGAACAAATTCTGGACCAAAAAATTGACATCTTGACAGAACTCCGAGGTAATCTCAATTTTTTACACTTTTTTCTTATCCCTTCGCCACACTAATTTTAGTGTTTGATGCATTAAAAAAATAATAAATATGTAACAGGAGAATTTAACATTCAGACAACACTTTAGCCTTGTTAAATTTGGACCCTTTTCTTCACAGATAAAGTGAAATCATTTCGAGCAGCTCTCCAAGAGGAGGAACAGGCCAGCAAGCAGATAAATCCTAAACGACCACGAGCCCTTTAGGATGTAGTTTTATGTTAAGGCTAAGTTGAAATGGAAAATCCACTAAACTCTCTCTACTGTAAAATGATCTAATAACTGGTTGTGAAGATCCGGCTGTTTGAAAACTAAAACTTGCTGAAATGAAGATTTCTAATGTCCACTTTCCATTGCACATCAGACACTCCCCGTTGTGTTCAGAGAAGTGCTTCTCATCCAGCAGCACAAAAAAAACAAAGGTTGGATTCCATAAGCACTTCCGTTTTTTACTTTTTATTTTAATTACCAATATATGTTTTGAGCTCCTTGCCAACATTTTTTTAAAGAAAATGAAGTAAAACTGTGGACTTTTGGCTTCCATAGTACCTGTTAATCTTGTTGGAATTTTGTTATAAAAGATTGGTGGGATAGTTTTGAAATGTATGCATGCTCAAACCAGCCGTGATTGTAATTTACCACCCATAGACATGACTGTGCTCACCTGTCAGTGCTGTATATAGCAGTGTTTCTTTAGGGGGACGGCTCATTATTCTGCTAAGTCGCATAGTAAATACAGTGAATAAACTGCATTACTTGTCAGTGTTCATTTGTTTCCTTGGATCTATTTTGTGTTTTATAACACGTCTAGTTTACTTTTGTGCCATATCATGTTTTTAAAAGGCAGTTCTGATGTGTTGCATTGAATTTCCATTTACTGTAAAAAGTTTTTCATCTCATTTTAACACTTTCTTTGTAAAAATATGAAAATTTTATCTAATGTATAGTAACCGAACACTGACTTTGGAGATAAGTTGTACTTCTAAGCGTTTAGTGTGTACGCCAGATTCAATGCTGGCTTAAAGAATAAAGGTTCACTTGTATGATTTTATACTGCAATGTATGATATATTTAAAGACAATGTTTTAAAAAAATAGAAGTATGCTAATTTGTTTTACCATTCATATATGATTCATAACTTTTTGAGGTGAAAATTTTTACTTTTTGGTATTGTTCTCACTTGTGCATATAGTTCAATACAAGACCCCATACTGGTCATTTCCAACGGTTTTGGCTCAGTAATACATGAACAACTTGCTTCACTTTGTACTAAGTCTAACCAGACATGTCTAGTCGTTCGGTAAAGTACTGTGGTAAACTAATTTTACTAAACCTTCACTATTTCAATCGAGTCATTTCATAACTACCTTGCTTTACCTTGTTATGACCCAATAGGTTCCATGATGTAAAATGTAAAGCCTCCATGCTTACAAACTCTGTAAACTTGTGAGCACTTTACTAACATAATATGGAATAAAATGAAGAAAACCCTGAATCATTATTTTGAACCTTTCTAAATCATTCCCTTTTGATTACATAAAACACTGCTGTGGTGCTATAAGACAGACGTTGGCTCTTACTGTGTGGTTCTGGGACAGTGTTTTCATGTGGTTGTGAAAAAAATACAGTTGGTTTATGTAAGATCACTTAGTCGTGTATCTGGATTAGCAGCAGTATGTCGTTTTAAAATGTGTATGTAGTAAGGTAGAATAAAATAAGATTATGTGACAGGTTAAAAGAGACATAGTTTATATATTTGTCGACTCTTCTTTCTCAGACATGCCCAGTGAGGCAGCTTTTTACGAGTGATAGCACTTTGTAGCACTCTAAGCTAGAATGGATGTGGGTGATTGATTGCACAACTGTAATGTGCAAGCCTTTGCCAAATAAAACTGTTTTTAAGAAATACAGAATAGTACTAATATATAGTAATTAACAGTTGATGAGTTCTTAATATTCTTAATGGTTTTCTGTAAAAACAACAACCCTGTTTTGCAGCCATGTTAACCTGTGACTGGGTAGTTGTCTTAGAGGATTCTGCATTTACATAGAGATACGGGCACTACATGTAGATGGAGGAAAGGTACACATTATATTTAGAAATTAAATATATTATATAAACACATGTAGAATTATATATATTTCAATGCAGGTCTCCAGTATCCTTCTTTCTTTGAAAACTCACGGTTGATTTCTGTTATTATATTACGATACCTATTATACAAAGGATGCTATACAATTTAGTGTCATCATTAAATAGTTCAAGTTTTGAATAGAAATAAAGTCCACAATGTTTGTAGTATATTTTTTATTTCTAGTGAACTGATCATAAAAACAGTTTTACAACATGTTTTCAATTTGGTGTTGTCCCTGTACCACACTGGTTGCAGGGTAAATTTGCCTTGTGATGCCTTTGAATAGTACTCCTATTTGTGAGCATGGTTGGGATTTTCAGTGCCTGACTATAATGCCGTAGCCAGTTAACAGCCACGAGGGTGGTGATGTGTTGGAACCCAAGTGCAAGACATCAGAGAGGGGTGGAACACCTGAGGATACCCCAAGTGCAAGAGACCAAAGAGTGAGGGCTCCGGAAGAAAGGGAAAGTGAAAGGGAATGGAAACATAAGGATGATGATAGAATAACTGATTACTGGCCAGTGGGGCTTAATCAGCCCAGAGCAGACAGTAATGGAAAAGAAAACGGAACAAACTTCAACAGAACTGGCCAGCAGAGCACGGAGGCCCCAGCTACTCAACAAGAAAAGAAACCTGGAGTGTGAAGCGGAATCCTGTGCCGAGCTCCAAGGGAGACAGGAGTTCGACTTCGGAGTGGCATCCTGGTACCGAGAATGACAACAGGCTTCGGGATGCAGGGTCAGACGACTACCCAGAGAGGCTGCTGGGGTATCCACCCGGGGAACCGAAGAAAAGGCAAGTGCAGATGTGCAACAGAAAGGGGGTGAAAACAATGATGGAGCCTGGCAAAGCAGGGCTTCGGCTTTAGAGAGAACTGGGAATTGAAAAATTATTAATACAGATCAGGGAAGGAAGGTTCGGCTTGTGCAGCCAGCTCTGGAAAAACAGTGAGCCCTTGTGAGAATGTGACGGTTTCCCAGGGAAACCGCTAGCCGAGGGACGCTGCAGGAAGGTGATCTTAACACAATCTAGCAGGTCTTATTGATCACACTTAAATGATCAATTTCTAAATACCTGGAACACAATCATTTTTACCACCTAAGCAGGTGTTTCGTACAATTATTTTATAAATGAAATTAAAATATCCCTCAAGGACCATAGCTGGTTATTCTTAAATTTACTCAGCTTGAATTATTCTTTTGCATGGTGTAAAAGATAAATATTCTCATTGGGGTTTCTTCTAATGCACTACAACTGCATCACTATCAAGGTTTGCTAAGAAGTATTTTCATTTGACTTCTAATCACATAGAATGTTTCATTTAAACTTTCATCCCAGAGCTCCAGAAAAAAAAGGCAAATATAAAAAGATTTATGTGCAGTATAAACGTGAAGAATTTGTTCTTTTAAAGAGAAATGTTTTCTTTTAAAATATATATTCTTCACCTAAGATTTCACTGATGAACCACATATCACCATTTGCATTACACACATTACATACAGCAACCCAGTAAAATGCATTCAATTAATCTTTAAAAGATCACTTCATTATTTAAAAAAAATTACAATACAGAAAATGCCAACAAAACTGATATTGTTGAACCTCACAAGCTGTATTCTTAAAAAGTGTGGATTCCAAATTCTGTCTTGCAAGTTTGTGTACAGTTACAGTCTTACAGATACCACGGACATTCTCTGCAGTATTATGAAAAGTGGATGCCAGCAGAATTAAATCCATGGAGAAGCCTGTGGAATTAGAAAAAAAAATCAACCTCACTACAAGCAGAAAAAAGCATACCTTAATATGTATCAATTATCTAGATCATAGTGTTTCTGCTGATGCTAACCATTTAAGATGAGATGTCTTAGTAAAAAAATTGGTTCTCTTTACATTTTAAATTAAGAGGTAGTGACAATATAATGTAATCTTAGTTGAAATTAATGCCCAATATAACACAACCAAAGCAATGTGAAGATGGAATTAAACAAATCTATATCTGCAATGTGTTACCTGAAGTACGATATACCAGTTGCAAATTGATAACATTTTATACTTATTTTGTAACATAACCAACAAGAGATTTGGCTTCTCATGTACTATCCAGTCTATTAAACAAAAAAAAAAGGTGGTACCCAAAAAAAACATTAGCCCATATTTGCTTTTTAGTAGCCATTCACAATATCAATAAGTAATCCATTTGTAAGAAATATCAAGTTACATTAAAAAAATCAAAACAAGGAAAAAAAGGACTGTCTTGTTAGATATAGTCCACTAAAACATGAGCAAGTCATTGTATTGTCATGGAACAAGTAATCGAAAAAGAACAAATAATGAGGTCTCACACCTGAAGAAGGCTCCACGGCCGAAACTTTGCGTTTTCTTTCTTCTCTTTTCAGCATGGAATAAACCTATTACTTGTTCCTTTGCAGCCTACGCATGCCGACGCAGCTCCCTACCTGAACTACTACATTGTATTGTCATGTTGTCCATTATTGTAACCAGTTGCATTCTTTCAGTCAGGATGGTTGAAACCTGTGTGATACTATTGTAGATCATAACTAAAGCTTACTGCAGTTGTTCAATATCTTTATAACCTCCTGTGCATATTTAATCAATAGTGTGAATAGTATGTACCAAATTAAGAAAATATGTCTAGCATATGAAACAGAACTATTTTGGGTGACTACATTCTTCTACAATCCAAATTTATTAAATACACTTGATGTTTCAAGTTACTTTTGGGGTTAGTGTTTAAGTTAAAGTGACCAGCATAGTGTGTATTGTGAAAATACATAGTTAGAAGATAACGTCTCATAGTTTTAAGTTATTATTTTTCTAATTTATGGATAAAAGTTTTCCAATGGGATTCTGATTAAGGTTGTTGTTAATTATTTTAGCTGACCATAATGTGATATTTGGTTGCCATGGCCACCATCATGGTTATAGCGTATTGTAAGAGTGATTTCAAACAAGTCTTTTATTCTGCTTAATACCAGTTATGGTGAAACGCAATTTTAGCAAAAATCTGTATCTAAACTGTTTTAGATTAAAAGAGAGGACTTGTTCTGTCTTGTACTCTACTACCTAAAACTACTATTAATTTTCTTCTAGAAAAGGTTCCCCTTATGGAAATTGAAACTGCCCTCCACTTCAGAAATGGTAATTGGATATATTGCAAATAAAAACAACTTAGGATATGAGTTAGTAATTTCATTTGTACAGAATAAGCATTTTGTTTTCAAATTGGGTACAGGCTATGTGTTGTCTGTGCAATCTTAAAATTAGAACCATTACTCACTTCATAAAGTCATCTATGTCCATAGACCTAGCTCGCTTCTCACTGAAGGCAGTTTCCTGAAGAATTTGCTCGATTTTTGTTTCAATTCTGAAGTCCTGTGGTATTTCCTGTGATAAAAATGGTGTTCAAAAACTTGTGTACACCCCAGAAGAAATGCAGTATATTGCTCCCTTTGTAAAAAAAAAACATGCAAAGACAAAATAATCTAGAGAATCAAGCAGTTGTTATTTTTTCCTTAAAACTAAAACAAAAACTGAACAACAAGATAATCTTATATACTTTTTCAGTTCTTTAGCTGTTTTACAATAGTGGTCGGCCATCATGGTCCAGTTGGAAACTGAACAGACCAGGTGGGGTTTAGGTGGTTTCAAGAAAATGACAAAATCGTTTTTTTTTCTGTGGTGTCTGTAGAACTGTGCTTGCACAGCTCTACCCATATGGTCATTCAGTACCAATACCAATGAAATTCTCCTACTTTCCAAATCCAAAATACCAGAGAGAAATTACAAGCACTTGCTGACCTACATTAGTCTAAAACTGACAGACACCCAGCTGGTAACACACTGTATACTTACAATATTGTGTACAGAACAGTGAATTCTGTAATTCTTTTCCAGCAACTGCTCAATTGCTCTGGACCTAAAATTGCAAAAATGAAGGTTAAGCCATCCATACAGTGTTGGTTTTCATTCGGAATTCAATAATATGTGGGATGTACATTTCCACATCCTCCCATTTTAATGTTCTTTACAATCTTCACCATTTGAGTGATATTTCATTTAACTAATCTCTATGATGTGGTGGTGTGAAACTTCTGTATTAAATGCTTATCTGAGCTGATCAATTTTAATGTAAAGTTATAACTAAAATTACTTGGAGAAAATGTGATTTCCCTGTTTGGAATATTAATTTCAAGAGTCATCTCTACATGCCAAAGGTCTTAAAAGAGAAAATGCTTCCTATGCCAATCAAATAACTGAATGAAGTTTTTACCGTTAACTTTATCAGCTGCAAATGATTCAAACATTTATTGGTATTTCCCAGATTTTGTCTTGTAAATGTTCATAGTGCATGACATAATCATTTAATAAACCCATGGCTGTACTGAGTTTTTTTTGGCTAAGTAAGACCCTCCATCCAACAATATACATTGGTAAAGCAAAAAAAAAAAGACTACTTACTTAAATGCTGCACATAGTGTTTTATTCTTCCTTATGAATGCTATTCTGACAAGACCATCCCATTCCTAAAGAAAATGTGTTTAGAAAAGAACTGTAATAGCTTCCTTCATTTTAGAAGGAAACACTGGTGGAAAGGTGTATCTCTCACTAATGTCACGGTGAGGAAGTTACCCCTGGGTCACAGTTCCACTGTAAGCCCAGAGAATCCTGGCCAGTGAATTCTAACCACACTCCTTGGGGAATCCTAGTCACAACTGACTGGTAAGATAACTCCGACTCAGAAAAGGCAAGAACTGGAAAAAGGTTGGCTTAAAGGGGAAGAATTGCAAAGCCAAAACACTTTATTTTGAATTACAAACCTTCAATAATTATCCCACAATTTCAGAGTATAATACTTCCACTTTAACAATGTTCCTTTCACTTTAAATAATTGTTCTTTAACTTTAAAGTAAAGTACATACAATTTCCTCTTCTAACAAAAATCCATTGTTTCTGTGTATACCATTAGAAACCAAGTGACTTAATATTTGTTAGTGATTGCCTATAAATATTAAAAGCATTTAATTTATAATAATAAAATGAATTAGCATGCCTTAGATGGAAACACACTTATGTATAGTTAAATTACAAATTTATTCTCCCTCGTATTCCTTTATTACTTAACCTCTGATATAGTAATTCATAAATAATTAAGAATAGTCTTCCCTCTTAAATACTGTTTTATTTGGTAAATGTCTCAGTCTTGGGAGATTATGTATCAGATATATGTCATAAAGATCTTTTCAATGATATATTTTCAATTTAATATGGTTTGTTCTAATATATGTTAAGACATTCAAAATGTCTATTGTATTTATATTCAATTCAAAATACTTTATTCATCCCGGGGGGGACAACTTAAGATATACATATAGCATATATGTACATACATAAACCAGCTAGCAGAAACATCCAGTGACTCTTCCCAATTCATTCATATCATCCTTACCTGAAAATTTACAGGTGGAGGAGGGTTCTTTGGCTCTATTCTGACAACACTAGACTCCACTTTTGGTGGTGGCCTAAAGTTATTCTTCCCAACCTATAAAGTAAAAAAAAATAAATAGGTCCAAGGACGATAAGAATGCTGGGTTTTAATTGACTTTGTGGGGTTTGAATTATTTTAATAAAAAACACTGGTGGTCTATCCAAGTATAGATGACCGCTTTGGGTATCAGTTTTAAAGCAAGGCAAATGCAATTCCAGCATTTATAATCAAATGTCTATATAACAGCACTAACATATTGTAACACTACAGGGTTCACGTGGGCGCCCTCGCCGCTGCTGCATCAGGTCGCTCCCCCCCCACCGTCAGGGACTCTAACCCGGGCCTCCGGCATCACTCAACAGGGACCCAGCCTCTTGAGCCAAAGGGAAATCTCCCGTCAGCCCAGCGGCTGCGGTCCCCGCTATTCACAGGGAAGGGCGGTGACGTCACCGCTCTGGTATGCCAGCTCTCACAAGCAATGGAGGCTGTATGCGTTACAATATTTACTGTAATGCTGTCTTAGAGTAAACAATATGTCTTACAATTTTTTTAGGATAACCAAGTCACAAGGTCGGTGGAAAACATAGGTCTAATCTACATTGAAAATGTGGTCATAAATGTAATGATAATAATAATGATAATGTTTCTTCATTAGCCCTATACAATTTCTTGTATTAGGAATTCGTCTTTTCGCATACCCCAGCTTTTCTCCATGGAGACACAGACAGGGAGGGAAGCCTGAGGTCAGAGCGCAGGGTCTGCCATTGTACGGCGCCCCTGGAGCAGTTAGGGTTAAGGGCCTTGCTCAGGGGCCCAACGGAGTAGGATTCCTCTGCCGGCCGCGGGATTTGAACCGGCAACCTTCCAGTCACAGGCGCAGATCCTTAGCCACAGAGCCACCAGTGTAGTAGGTAAAACCAGCTAATTTTCTCTCTTAGCAAACAATGTAGAACAGGTAATGTTTTACACGTACACAGGACATGGCAGGCGTATACAGTTATTCAAAATGTTTCACTGTTCAACATTGAGATGTGTATTGCACTTAAGCAACCCTTCACTTAAGAAGTGATTTTCATAACTTAATGGATCAGCAAGTATTTTATCACTATAAACAACTTTAATAGTGTACAGGCAGATAGTTGTTTATATAAAATATTTATTTCAATATGTGAAGTTTTACTTGTGATGTGAAGATTACTTGCCTTCATAAGATGATCTACTCGGGCCAGAAGCTGAGTATTTATTGATAACCTGCAATACAGCTTGTCTCCAGGTTTTGCAACAAGTCGAAGAGCAAATTCTCTTTGGAACATCAGCACTGCACACCTGGAATAGTAACAAATTAAGAGCAAGTGACAATTTTTAATAATATTAACTTTTAAAATATACCATAATGGTTTTCTTTCTAAAGGTACTTACCTGAAAAAAGGCCTGTGAAGCAGTAATTTAAAAATGAATGGTGATGAAATCTATAAAAACAAAAAAAGATTCATTGATGTGTATAAGGGATCAGAAAATTTCAACTGCTCAGTATGCTAAACACAAAACACTCAGTGTGCTGATTATTCTGTTTTATTAACTAGAAGAGGAGAGTTGAGCAGACCAGGAGGAATCACAAAACTGCTTCTCTGCTGAATTAAGGGGGGAACCTTTAAGCATGGCACATTATGAAAAGCCCAGAGTGGAGTTTTGCCAGGATACCTGGGTTAACACTGGTACTTTCACAACCTTTGTATTGACATTGACTAAGCCACAAGTGCATATAAGGAACAGTATTAATTCATTAAACTATAACCCAGCCAAAAAGGAAAACTTTATGTACCTGATAAGGCAAGTTAGCTACACAAACATCAAAGAAAGGCAGGTCTGTCTTCAGAACATCTCCAACCATGATCTGAAGCTTTGTCTGCAGTGGTCTGTGAAAGAAAGAGACATGTATTTAATGCAGAACCACCCTGCTTTATCTCAATGTTATTATCAGACAGCTATGCCTGAAGCAGCTCTAAATTTACAGTACCAGTCTGAAATTTGTTAAAAAGTACATAAATATAATGCTCAACAGATTTATACATACCCTGATGATGATTGTGAAAAAGGAACAAAAAACACAGAACTAACGTTGTACGGATGGGTGATGCATCTTCATTAAATAATTTCTAAAAATGTAGTCTATGGTAATCAGTACGGTACAGTTTATTTGCCATAAATAACATTCGTTTGTAAAACATGTGTCAGATTCATTCAAATCCTTGTAGTTAGTACCGTGTAAATTCTTCTATGGCATGTAATATACTGACAGGATGCCTTCTGTAGAGTGCTGTTATGTGATAAGGGCTATTACTTTATACCAGGTAACCATTATTTGAATGTATGATTTGGATCACAGTCATGATGAAATGTTTTTGAGCTTTTCTTTTCTTGAGCTTCTTGGCAGAGGGAAGTAGATGTTTGGTCAGGACCTAAGGACTCCATGATCCAAAGATGTAAAACATCTCCAAAACAGACCATTTGACCTTGACAACTCACAAGAGGCTTCTTCCTTCCAACTATGCCAGGTAATGCTGAATGGTGATTTTCAAGACTTTGTATCGTAAAGATGCCAGATTGAGGTGGACATCTTCAACTGTTGTCTTTGGATTTAAGATTGTCTCCTGAACCACTTGTCTCACAGATTGTCATGGCAAGCCACACTTTTATCACTATCATGTCTGAGTTGCCACATCACTACTTTTAAATTATTTGATAATGGACATAACAATGGAAAGTGCTATATTTATTCTTTTGTGAATTCTCCTATAGGCATCCCAAACCTTGTTGATTTTAAGGACCACTTGCCTAGTCTTCAGAGAGCTCTGGATCCTTAACTAGAATAATGTGTGCTACTGCAAAATGTCTTCTTTGCGTAATCTCCTTTTAGAACCCAGGTAAATGAATGGATTTTACGGGGGCCTCTACATACTTTAAGTAGTTTCTGCTGAGCTTACAAAGAGCAGAGTAGATTTGTGTTGTTGGATGTTTCCTCAATGAACTACTTAGAGGCATGAAGACATCTGATCCTTGTTTTTCTGGGATTTAATTTAGTTTACATCTTCAGATAATTTAAAACAAATGACAAAGCAAAGCACCATGCTATTATGATTACAGTATAAAATACATAGATTTTTTAAGCAAGATGCAATATTTAATTCGCAACATCCAATCATAAGATCCCCCCCCCATGTTTCCTTTGTGGTGTGAAGAAATCTGTAATATAAGTGTCATTTAAAAAGATAAATCATGGAAACTTAAAATCAGATGTTATGAGTCCTGAGGGTTATACTTACGTGCACTGTACTCTCTTTTGAAGCTCAGCCACAAGTCTAGTATCCAGCTCACAAGCCACTACCTTTTGAAATTGAAATAAAATGATTACATACACCGTTATATAGTAAATATGAGGTTTGACGCACAGGCATGCATACATGCAAAACTACATAGTACAGCCATGTATTACCTTTTTTGCTTTTTCCAGTAGTTTGACAGTCATGTTACCAGTACCAGGCCCAACTTCCAGCACCACATCAGTTGGTCTAAGAGCAGCCTACAAAAAAAAAAGTTGTCTGTAGAGGACAAAAGCTTTTTCAAGTCCTGTAGTCAAGGTGTTTAAACTGTATACTCATTAATGCTATAGGTTATATTTTCTTCGGTTAAAGCCTAGATGTGTTTAGACAGAGTTTAATGTCAAACACATTTTTTTTACATGATTTCACTACAGCATAATAACCACTACACCAATCATCATAGCAACAGAAATAATATGGGGTTAAAAGTAAATAAAAACGTCTAAAAACTGCATTAATAACCTTAGAAACTCAAGGCGATTTAAAGTATGTTATTTCAGTCTCATTTATACTTTTGCGTCTGTCTAATCCGGTCACTATGAATAATCAAACATAAGTGTGTTTATATATTGCACTGAAACAAAGGATTAAAGACATACAGGTTGCTTACCTTGTCAATGATCCCATTAACCACCAAGGGATTTTTTAAGATGTGCTGACCTATTCCAGTATTGAACATTATTCCTGAGAGGAAAAAAAAAAGATATGCATGTTCAGTTAAGTGTTTTTTAACTAATTTGATATACACAGATACGAATGAGTCCTCTTTAAGGAAACAATTTCAACAGAAAACTAATTACAAACGCTATAGAAAACAGGGAATGAATTCTGAGTATTTCAGCACCTCTTTTTTGCGGGACAACTCTCAATACGCACAAGACTTTGACCATTACATAATATTGTCATATATTTTGAACAATAATGTTCCTGACTTCAAGAATTATTCAAACTAGATAGGCACCTCTGTTGATCCACAGCAAGAACTGACAAATGTTCATAATCCACCGTATTAGACTGCCAATGAAAGGTTTCCTTTCGGCAAACTCCGTTGATGCTTAACTGAGAACACATCCTGTGAAGGTCAGATAATTCCCAGCTGTTAATAAATATGTGTAATGTGTACATATATCAATATGAAAATGTAGTTTTTACAAGGCCCCTTGCTTCTCGCTTTCCAAAAACTGCTTCAGTTATGTTGCTCACCGTAACACTAACAGTAAAATCCGAAGGGATAAAATACGTTCTGTAAGGCTACAGTTATTCAAACTAACCTTGACTTTTCACCTCCTGGTGTTGTCTGCTTTTCTTTTCAGCTTTGACTTTCGGCATTTTGTTTTCGTTTGATACTTCACCAACTGAAGAAATCTGTGTCTATACTATACATTCCCAACACGTGTTCCTAATGTAAGCTCGTCATAGACTGCTTCGCGTCGTCTAATAAAGCGCAATAAATTGCATTCTGGGACTTGTGGTTCTGAACTGCAACAAAGCGGTAACAACAGTACAATTTTAAAAACCAACGGACTACTTCTCCCATAATGCTGTAACAACACAACTATTGTCGCAGGACTGGAGTGTGGTTCATATGTTGTTTACGATTATGCTTAATGGTAATGGTTTTGTTTTAGACTTTGTAAAAGTAGTCATGGCTGATTTAAAACTGTATGGTGGCACTATTTCGTGAAATTGTATATGATCTGTTTCATTTTTGCTCATGTGTTTAACTTATTTAGTGGTTGCGACAAGGACAGCTCCCTTTTAACTTAAATGAGATGAAAATACTCATAGTAGTACTCATGCAATTTATGTGTTCCAAAAATATTTTACATTAACATTTTTTCGAATACTGTCCCATTATTTGTTGTGAAGCACCGCCACCCAGTGGACATTGTCCTGTTTACTTTTATTGTTAATTACTTTAACCCAAAATTAAAGCAGAAACCGACCATGGCTGTTTAAAGACATTTTGGCTCCGCATTCGGAATGTTGAGATCTTGTTTTTTGGGGGAGAGGGGAAGGGGGGATATTAAACTACCAGACTCAATGAATCTTCGTCACAAAGTACGACACGAATAGGTGTTCGAAAGAAGAACTTGAAAACACACAAAACGGTGTCCCACTATTTTAAAATTAGCCTTCAAACATAAATCGGATATTAGACAGTATTTAGTAACAACTGCATAATGCATTTCTTTTTCCTCTCCATTAAAGTGTAAACTCGAGAGAAATATCTGAAACCATTAATTAAGGGCAGCTGCTGCAATTCAATGTTTCCCAGAATTCGTCATTTAATTAAATTAAGGCTTTTCAACTTTCTTGGAACGTACAGAAAAGAATCCTGTAAAATATTTTTTTAATTAATTTAAGTTCAAACATTTAAAAATAACACGGAAACTGGGTAGTATGCTAAAATTAATAAAACCCCAAAACTTTAATTTGGATACACAAATGTCCCGCAATCAAGAAATTCGTAACACTAACCAAACCAGTACAAAATTTTCAAGAAGCGTGGCAATTCGTGCCGTAAACTAGTAGAAATCGTGACATCATCAGCATGCGCCTTCCACCGTGTGTATGGCGCCATCCAACTACCAGGCGTGTGCATGTTTGTACTTAGAGCTGACACCAGCATAGTTGTGATATTCCATTACACACCACTTCTGCCAGAGGTAAGTATGCTTAAAGTACTGAAAAAACCTGAAGATCTTCTGTTTTAAATCAGACATTGAAATGATATTTGCTCGGTATCATTTCAGTGTTGGGCCAGGTTAGCTTGTGTAATTTATCTACTGTGTTAACACGCGTTGCAATGATTTTTGTATATTACAGGGGGGGCTGTGTAATGATGACTGGTTTAGAATTGTAAGGATTATTAAAGTAATGCGTTCAGGGTCTACAACATATATCCCAGACCTAAACTATGATGGATAATATAAGTCCACAGCGAGCTGAAATTTCATGTAACTCCTTTGCTTCTTTTGGGGGGTTGGTAGTTGCATGAATGTGGTCAGATGTGGTGTCTCCAGGGTTCTAATCGTGTTTTCAAAGTAACGGTAGGTGTCTGGGTCTAACTGTGAATGTATGATTATTGTTTTGTTTATGCGATTTGGTTTTAACGTCTTTGAAAGTCATGTGTTTGCTGGTACCCCGCGCGAGTACTCTGTGCTTTTATTTGCACTCTGCTGAACTGAAGTCTTCCATACAGTATGTATTGCGAATCAGTTTGCCCATGGCACTGACTCGTGTGTCCGATAACAGCTTTAACTGTTTTTGATATACGTCTATTAGTTTGGATCAGAAGCAGCTATGTTTGCCATTACCTAATCGAGAGGCCATTTGGCTGATACAGCCGTTTGGTTGCCATATACAGTAGCTAATTAATCCATCTGTTTCTTTAAAGAAGGTAGGTTACCTGCTTCAATAACATGGCAGGACATTATCTTACCAGGTCACACAATCCATCGTTTAATGAATTGACAGCTCTTCTCATTAAGTATACTTATTCATAGATCTTCTTCAAGTCTTCTGGCATGTGTTTCAGTTTTGATTCTGAAGAAGTCCACCGGGTTGAATTTATCAGTGCATTTGAGGATTTTGAATGGCTGAATCAGGTCCCCCTGAAAAGCGTGAGCATTGTACATTTCTAACACGACATCTCTTTATTTAAATTCTGTTTTTTTTAGTTGTAACAGTTATTTTACCCTTTTCATTGGTTCTGTATAAAGCTTGGATGAGGGAAAATGTGTCATCATAAATGTCTTATGTTTTTGGAGGGATGCCCTTACTCACATTTGTATCCTTTCTTATGTTCTTAATCTTTGATTATAGAAGCAGTGAAAAAAGTTTGCCAATCCTTATCTGTAAACTTTACTAGTTCACTGGCTAGGCTAAACCAGTACCAATCACAACATGGGGTGATCTCCGATTCTGGCTTAACATTCGACCCACATGTGCAGCATATTGTCAAAACATCTTTTTTTCACCTCAGAAATATCGCTAGACTACGCCCTATGCTGTCACTAGCTCTGGCTGAAAAGCTAATAAACATATTTGTGTTCTCCCAAATTGACTGCTGTAATGCTCTACTCGCTGGGGTATCTAAATCTACTTTGAACAAACTGCAGTATGTCCAAAATTCAGCAGCCAGAATCCTGATCAGGTCTTGTGCAAGTGATCACATTACTCCTATCCTGGAGTCCTTGCACTGGCTTCCTGTCAAATTCCGTGTTGACTTTAAAATCCTCATGCTCACCTATAGGGCTCTGCATGGCTAGGCACCTCAGTACCTGTCAGAACTATTATCGCCCTACTCCCCACCTTGCAACCTTCGCTCTTCTAATTCTGGTCTCCTAACTGTCCCCCCCAAGCCTGTCTACATTGTATGGGTGACAGGGCCTTCTCCTGTTATGCCCCCAAGCTCTGCAACTCTGTGCCCAAGGAAGAGAGTCACCTCTAAACTCCTTCGATTCTAGACTCAAAACCTTCTACTTTAGAAAAGCCTTTACTTTACTGGTTCCATTCTTCACCCCTCTGCTTTTCCTGCTATCACCATCCACGGTCTCCTCTGTATATTGTAATTGTGTTTTTATCTCGTGTATTATTTTTATTTATTGTTGTTATCATTCTGTAAAGCGCTTTGAGAAGCCACCTTTAAAGGTGCTATATAAAATAGTTTATAATAATAATAATTATTATTAACATATCTTGGCATGTTACACATAGTCAGCTCACAGGAAGTGTTGTAGCAGCTAATCCATTAGTAGTAATAATATCTAATTTACTTCTTATCAGCATGTTCCTTGTCAGTCATTTATGCATTCATTAATGTGTGTTATTCTACACAACCATAAAGCAAAAGGGCTACATTTTTATGAGGAAGTGTAGAACAGTCACAATTACATTATCTTAAAAAAAACTTTAAAATGACCGTAGAATATACCCATTACGTTTTCTCTCCGTAAATGAGAAAAATGTTTTGGGTGAAATAGTACAGAATGTGTTGGGATGTTTGCCCAACACCGTATGTTTAGGTACGTACAGTGCAGTCTGTAAGCATCTGGACAGTGACACAATTTTTGTTGTTTTAGCTCTGTACTCCAGCACATTGGATTTGAAATGAAACAATGACTATGAGGTTAAAGTGCAGAATGTCAGCTTTAATATGAAGGTATTTACGTCTATATTGGATGAACTATATAGGAATCACATCCCTTTTTATGCATAGTCCTCCCATTTTAGGGGAACCTCTTTTAAAACCAGTGCATGAAAAAAAGACTGTGTTCAAACTCCTGAACACCCAGGGTGAAGCCGCTGTTTTGTGAATTATTGTCTGTTTGAAGACTATTTTGGGGCAAAGAGGATTTAGGGAGGAGCTAGGGATCTGTCACTCCAGCTTTTGAAGTGCTTTCCAGCCACGTGGTTTTCACCTGGGACGACTAACCTTAACCACCCGGTTAATGAGTCAAAGCATATGAACATACTATTTCACAGTTAAGATGGCATAGCCACTTCTGGGCTCATACTAGCATAAAAAACTTTGTTCTAGGTGAGGGCAACACCGTGGCGTGGTGGTTAGCATTGTTGCCTCACAGAGCTTGGCCCCTGGGTTCGTTTCTGGACCTGGGGTGCGGTGTGTGTGGAGTTTGCGTGTTCCCCCTGCGTTCATGTGGGCTTCCTCCAGTTTCTCCACACTGTCCAACAATATACTGGTATATTAAGAGACTTCTGGGAAAATTGGCCCTTGTGGGAGTGTTTGTGTGCATGTCTGTGTGTGTGACCTGTGATGGACTATTGTCCCGTCCTGGGTATACATTGCCTTGCACCTGTTGCTTGCAGGGATAGGTTCTGGTTGTCTTGTGACCTTCAGGTGGGTAAGGCAGTTAGAGAATGGATGGAGTCTGCGGAGAAAGAATAGGCGTTGCCGTGCTGTCTTGGCTACGAGGTTGGTGTGGTGGGTCCAGGTTAGATCGTCTGTGATGGTGACACCTATGATTTTGAACCTTTTGTCTCTCTCCACCGCGGACCCGCTGATGTGAATGGGGGTGCGGTCTGTTCCTCGATGCTGTGCTTCTCTATAAAACTACAGGTAGAATATATCTTTTAAGAGCACAACAAACACTTGCCAAACAGCAGAAACATTAAACAAATCTGTTAGCTGCCCGGTCTGCAACGTACACGCGCACCCGCGCAGTATTTTGTGCGCATGCGCATATCATGCGCAAAGCATAAAGATATATGTCGAACATTTATCACACTTTTGTTAAAATTATATAGAGGAAAATGATATTGCGATAATTATCATTATCGAATTATCGCCCAGCTCTAGTTTTAAACTACTGTTCTTGAGGTGAATAAGTTTTGAATATGTTTGGTACCGCTGATTAATGCAGCAAATCAAAAAGGCAATTAACATTACAGACCTGGTGAGGTCAGTGAATCACTGCAATAGAATACAGTGCACCGTGACGACTTTATTTCCCCTCAGCTCTTTGTCTAGATAGTAGGAGAAACGTGCATTGCCTTCCGAAGGAGAGCTAGCCTCCCCATATTAAGTGCAAATGATGTAGGGGGGAAAAAAGTTGTGCACTCAGTTTCAGGTGTAAGTAAAAGCATGTTGCAGAATGTCAGGTAGGAGGGCATGTGAGCTGGTTTCCATGTCTGTCCATGTGTTGGAACAGGCAGGTCTGTTTGTTCACATAGGAGCAGCTTGCTTTGCCTACTTTGTCCTGGCTTTTTGTCAATGTGGTAAATTGCTTGCCTTGCAGAGGGTCAATTCCTGGCTTCAGTTGTCTACCCACAAGGACTAACATATGTAGGGACATATCTTTCTTATAGGAACTACCGTTTGAGTTTTATTTTTCTGCCAAGTACAGTGTACATTTGCTTCTGGCCTTGTGATATGAAAGGATTACATTTGTGCAGAAAAATGTTTGTTTCTAATGTCTGTATTTGTTGCTTTTGAAAGGACATGTGTATTGTACAGGATAAAAATGATCTGACCTCGTCATGCAGTCCTCTCTAAGTAAGTGTAGTTTGCGTAATGGCTAAAATGGTCAAAATGCTAGAAAATAGCGATCTTGGGATTGTGGTCTTGGGATTGTGGTTGGGGATTTCTGTGATGTTCTGCGACTTCATCTAAATGGGTTAACATTTCTTTTCCTGTATCTTCACATTATTTTATCTTTTGTTAGAAAAATAGTTTGGGGAACACTAGTGTGTAGCTTAGCCATTTCTTCATTAGTGTTATTTGTATAGTTTTAACCTAAGTGATATCTATTTGAAGTCACATGCTGATTCTAGATCAGAGATTACTTTTGACGCCATCACACAAACAGAAATGAAGCATGAGTATTGAGTAACACTGTGCCGTTGTACATTTCTCAATGATCCTGATTTATGAGCAAACAAACCTTTTAAGCTGTTGCCTGTGGTTGCAGTTAAGAGATCGAAGTAATGTGCAAGCTGTTGTTTAAGGTGCCCTGATTGAGGTTAGCTCTTTATGGATCTTTGCCAGTTTTTGCCTATGTATTACGAGAAATCTGAATGAAACTGATGAATAATACCCATGTCAAAAGCATGCTGTAATGTCAAACGTTAACACAGTATATCCTTTAACAGATTTGAAATTTGACAGCTGTTAAAGCATATTTTTCTTCTACTTATCACTAGATGGCAGTGTTTCTGTTTGTGGTTTTCATTTTTCTGTTGTGCCTCTTTTCCTCCTGGTTTTGATTGTTGTATTATATTTTTACAGGTTATCTTATTCCCAGGAAATTGCATAGACTGCTGGAAGGATGTGATTCTATAATCTTCCAGTACATCCTTCTCCAGCACATTCTGGTTTCATACTGTAGCTATAAATGTTGGGACAGTGAAGTCCCAACTGCTGTTTATGCTGTATACTCAAGTATTTTGGTTTTGAGATTAAAAAATGAATGTGAGACAAAAGTAAAGAATGTCACCTTTTATTGCAGGATATTTCCATTTTCTGTTTTATTGTGTGCATATGTTCTGACTGATGCATCTTTTTGTCTTCAATCCCCCCTTTTTAGATGAGTATTTGGAAAACATAAGCTAGTTTGGGGACTAAACATCTTGAAGAAAATTAAACGAATATCAGACGTAGTTTTTGGTTGCAAGTCCTTTGCATGGAATAACTCGATCAGGCCTGCGACCCATTGACGTCACCCCAGACTCTTGGTTTGTTCTTTTCAGATGCTTTGCCAAGCCTGCGCTGCAGCCATTTTCAGTTGCTGTGTGTTTTGGGAGGTTTCTGGCTTCAGTTTTCTTTTCAGCAATTGAAAGACATGCTCGATTTGATTTAAACCAGGAGATTGACTTGGCCGGTCTAAGACTTTCTATTTTCTTCTTCCGGGTAAGCTCCTTGGCTGCATCGACAGTGTGTTTTGGGTCATTGAATTGCCGGCCGATGAGTCTGGAGGCATTTTGTTTGTACATAGGCAGACAGATGTTTCTGTACACTTGGGAAGTCATTCTGCTGCTACAACGATAAGTTACATCATCAATAATGATAGGTGAGCCAGTTCCAGAGACGGCCATGCATGCCCAAGCCATGATACTACCTCCCCCATGTTCAGCAGATGAAGTGGTGTGGTTTGGATCATCTGCAGTTTGTTGCTTTCTTCACATTCTCCTTGCCATCTCTTGGGTAGAGGTTTATCATTGTCTCATTTGTCCACAAACACCATGTTCCAGAGCTCTGCTGGCTCATATCTTGTACTTTCTAGCAAATTGTAATCTAGCCTTTCTATTTGTGGTGCTCGTGAGATGTTTTCATCTTGTGTTGTAGCCTTTATAATACTTCTGTGGAACTGTGAAAGTCTTCTGCGAACAGCAGAATGTGACACCCTCACCCCTACTCAGTGGAGGTTGTTGGTGATTTCAGTGACAATTGTTTTAGAGTTTTTCTTCACAGCTCTGATGATTTTTCTGTCGTCAGCTGCAGTTTTCCTCGGCTGACCTGGTCGTTGCTGATTGCTAAGTACACCTGTTGTTTCCTACTTTTTCAAGATATTCCAAATTGTTGATTTTACTGTACCCAGTGTATGTGCTGTGGGTCTGATTGAGTTATTTTCTTTCAGCATCTGGAGTGCATGTGTTCTTTTATAGGAATTTCTCTAGTCTTTGTGTTGGTTTAGGCCTATTGACCTCTTGTCAGTATGCCTAGGGAGAAGGGAAGACCAAAGTCTTAAATCCAGCACTGCACGTTCACAGCTCTTTTGTGCATACACAATCAATGCAACAGGAAACACTCGAGGAATTTAAAGGAACACTAGGCAGCCAATTATCCCATACTTACATTATGCTCACCTGAGATGGGGAAGGTTGAACTAAAACAGTACAAAAAGCAGAGAAATACCCAGAAATTAAAGGTGGTGTTTTGTACTTTTGTCTCATTCATCTTTTACTCTCAAATCCAAATTACTTGACTATACAGCAAAAATAGCAATTTTGACTTCACTGACTCGATGGTTATGGAAGGCACTGTATATCCGATGTGGTTATAATGTTTTTAGACAGATTGTGATCCACATACTATTAGTAATATTACATACTGTCTCTTTTGGGATTGTCTTTTCAATTTTCATCTTCAGTATGCTTTAGTATCGTAAATGGCTTCTATTACTATAGTGTGAGTAGGGGATAGAACATTCTTTTATTATTAGTGCCATAAGCTTTAGTTTGTGCTTTTTCTCTTTAAAAAATGGTTTTAACATATGAATATCTTGATTAACAAAAAAAAAATAATACATGAAATGCTTTTCATAGGTGTTGATTCTGTCTGCGGGCTGGAGTGGAGCTAGGGACAAGTCTGAAAGCAGTGTTTTACAGATGAATTGTAGTTCTCAGAGTCTGTAATTTAATCCTGGGTCTCTCCTGGCTGATGCGGTCAGTGATTGCGGTAATGGGCTGGGGACGGGCGGCTTCTACAGGCCTTAAATTGCTAAGATGCATTAACATCCTACCTTGAGATATCGTTTGCAACATATGGATATTGATTTAATGTTTAAACACTTCGTATGGTTTTTACAAATATTTTGTATTGTCTTTTAGAATGCTGGTCTACTTTACCAGCCTTTTGCCGACCTCTGTGATAAGGCTGCTGACATCATTATCCTGATCCAAGAACAGTTGTTTTGTCCTTGAAGACCTTTTGAAATTGAATTAACTGTAATTAAGTGAGTGTTTTAGAACCCCGTATAGTCACCGACAGGCCATCAAGTCTGCACAGGGATTTTACCTTTTATTGTGTGATCATATTTCTGAGAACTAGCCTCTGGAATACTCTGACTGCAGAAATTGTATAACAGCAGGGGCTGCTAAAGCCATCTGCCATTTCTCATAGCAACAGTTTAGCTTCTGTATAATACAGGTACTTTACCCTTGTGCTTGTTTACAGAATGCATGTGTTCATATTTCGTTTTTATGGATGTTGATCACTCTTGCTGAGCCAAGCAGACCGAGACGTTTGTTAGAGTAAGAGGGGTTACTAGAAGGGCAGCACGTTAACAGCCACAGCTGTTAATATTGTGGCTTTGCAGCTCTGGGGCCTTGGGTTCAATACCTTGTTGCAGTCTGTGTGGAGTTTGGCTGTTCTCCCCTTTTTATCTCCATGGATCTCCTCCTGATGCTCCAGTCTAAAGACGTGCTGGTAGGTAGGTTAGTTGGCTTCTGGTGTGAACGTGTGTGAACGTGTGTGAACGTGTGTGAACGTGTGTGAACGTGTGTGAACGTGTGTGAACGTGTGTGAACGTGTGTGAACGTGTGTGCGTACCTTGTAAAGGATTAGTGACCCATCCAGGGTGTCCTGTGCTTTGTGTCCATTGCCTCCTGGAATAGACTCCAGCTCCGCTGGGACCCTGTATTGGATGAAGCAGTTAGAAAAGGGATGGATGAGTGAAATTACTGTAATGGCTGGCCGGCGAGATACCTGCTCTCATGTTGGACATGTTTAGATTCTTCTGAGCAAAGTCTTTTATTCATGAATAGGGGTTTATTTAATTTTAATTGTCATTATTAACTACGATTAACATTTTACTTTTGCCTTTTGCTTTATTACGTCCTTTAATCATACCATATAATTAAGGTATTGCACCTTTTTATGATTTTGAGAATTAGTCCCACTTTATATCAGGCTGATTTTAATGAAGGACAAATAAAAGGCCGTCAGTAACTAGTTGAACGTTGTCTTTGTTATTCTTTTGTTTTTTAATGCATGTAATACAGTTACTAGACATCATTTGTAGCCAACTGTGTATTTAAAAGTTTGCAGAACGGGAACATTTTTGGCAGGGCAAGATGACAGTCTTAATTACCTGTCTTCACTTGTCCCAGTTGAAAGCGAGTGTTTTGTGACCCCTTCTTTTTGCTTTGCTATATTAGTGCTTTTCTGATTTGTTTATTCCCATGGGTTTCTAGAATGTGCACATTTTGCATGATCCAGTAAATTCATGTTGTTTAAAATCTAATTCATGATGTCATGTGAATTTATTTGAATATTGGTAAAGTTGATGAGTGGATGTTTTTGGGGATTGACATAAGGTGGTCCTTCATCTCTTGAAAATTTATTTCCGAAGAAGAAACAAAAGCTGGCTTACCGCCCCTGAATACTGAATGAATTAGCTTAAGATGGCAGTTAGAGCAGGGAACTACATTAGCTTATGTTTTCCAAAGGTAAAAGAATGTGATCCCATACTGAAAATACAGAACTGTTGTATAGGCTATATGCAGTCAGTTTAATTAAAAATAAAAGACCTGGAAACACTGTCCAGGGCATTACTTTCATGCTGGTCGATAAAAATGGGAATGGTCTCCATTTGTCACCTTAAAGTGCGTTTTAAATCTTTGTATAGATTTAGTTTTGACTGATATTAAGGATGTGCTTGATGCTTTTATTCAAAGAGACTTGTTTTTGTGCTGATCTATCCAGCTAACCTTGAGCAGTCCGAGTGAAGTACCTCGCTCAAGGGTACAACAGCTGAACAAACGACCTAACGTCTATGAACCACCGAACAGTGGTTTATTGTGGGTGGAGTTTTGGTCATGCTTTAGGATTAGTAGGGTTACCATCTTTGCGAAATGATAAGTAGTAACAGACCTATTTGTTAGAACTTATTGGATTGATAAAAGCTTAAACGTGTGATTCGGGCTGCGGTGCCCATGTCATCCCAATTACAATAAAATGTTACGAAGAGCTGATGTATAGTTTTCCTGCCTGAATTGCACGTGAGATCTCATTAATGCCCGAATGCCTCAATTTATGGTCCAAATACCAACAAGCTGCCTAAGTGTTGTGACATAACTTTTTTTGTTGTTGTTGTTTTCCCTTGTTAGATTTCCCATGGACATCCATAGTGCCAGCTCTGTAGTCCTGCAGGCTCTCACTCAGGCCACCAGCCAGGACACTTCAGTGCTGAAGCCAGCTGAGGAGCAGCTCAAGCAATGGGAGACACAACCGGGTTTCTACTCTGTGCTGCTGGTGAGGGTTCATTGCTTCAAGCATGCAGTTGTGTAAAGGGGTCTTCATGTCAAAGGTCTGGTTCCGGTTTGTGTGTAACACAGTGTAATAGAAAAGAAATATTTAGTAAATGTGCTCCACACACCCATGCATTTTTTTCTGCTTCATTTTTTTAAAAAGATAGTCCATCTCATTTTGATACTTTGCAGCTAATTAAAGTTATTCAATTTGTCTCAGTGCCTTTTTGGAAAAGTGTCACTTCATAAAACATTCAAACAAATTTGTGATCAAATGTGGTTCATCCAATGGGCTCCTATACCTGGAATAACTGCTATTGATTTTCGTGCAGTTTCAATTTATTCTCCCATTATTTTTTATTACATGAGTTGGGTATTCATTATCTGTCCAGATGGTTTGAAGCTGCTCAGTTATTACCCATGGTGATACAAACGGCAGTTTGGGTTTGTAAATTAGTAATTCATAAAATCGCTTGCACAAAATTCATCACTGGGGGGTCAGTGGGTCTAGGGGGTGATGGGGGAGAAAACATCACAAACAAGATTATTTTTTTTTAAGGGACACAACCAGAACTATTTTCATTTACTCTGCACCATCTCAGTATGGAATAGGAAGATGAAGTGACTGCTTCATTCACTGCTGTATCCACAAACGCTAGACCATTGTAGAGGTAAAAAATACTAGAAAGGCAAGATGATTATGAAATCTACTGTATATTTGATTTCGGTAGTCTTTTGTTGCAAATCCAATGCTGGACTGTACTGTAGGATAGAAGCCTTCTAGAGACTTGAATAAGAATCCAAAGAACAGCAGTTTCACATATTGTATTTTAAAGCTTTGTTAAACTGCAAGTGAATGAAGCACTCAACTCAGCAGGTTTATTGTACTGGCATTACAGTGCTGTCAAATGAGATTTCTAATGTACATGGTTGGCAATGGAGAGAAGCTTCTGTTTCAAATATCTATATAGAAGTTTAGAATTCTCATCTATTCTAAAATGTACTAACAAAGAAGCTTTCTGAAATTAAATTTATACCAGGATATTTTAAAAATTCATTAAATGAATTGTGGAATCAATAGTATTTATCCTACTTTTAGTGCCTTTGAATACATGTTTGTTTGGGGTAGGTGATTACTGATTAGTAATTCTTAGATGTATTTTTGTTTGTCTAGCTACTAACATTCCAACATTCCTTTTGGATTCATTGTTAGACATTACATGACAGGGGGTTAAGAAATATAATTTAGTGTTTTGGTCTTAATTACAGCCACTCATATGGATTCATTTACAGATGCTATTCTTGCACAATAAAATATCTTCAGGATTGAAGAGCTTTAAAGTTAAAGCTAGAATCCTCAGATTGACAACTTTTGTTTGTTTCATGCTGCCTTAACTCTTTGGTTAAAGAAGTGCCTTACAACCTCAGTCCTTACGTTGTTTAATTTTCATTTTCTGTCATCTGCATGATGTTTCTGTTGACTTTCTGAGATATTTTTTCAAGTCATTTTGAACATTTTGAACAGATCTTCACAATTATATAAGGCTAAACTTTTTACTTATTATATCTTCTGTACGGGGTACATCTTTTATAGTACTTACGTTGCAGTAACATACTTCTTGTTTTTGTCTGAACTTTGTCTAGAATGCAATTTTTGTATTAAGTGCTTCTAGACTGTCTTGATAGTGCCTTGCTCTTTCTATTTTAATTTGGCCATGGTCACAAGCCTAGTGTTTGCCTTTTATATTACCCTTTACTCCTGCCTACATACGTCAATGCGTTGATGGCAACATTTGTGTTCCATTTCCTTAACTATGCAGTTCCTTAACTAACAGTTTGTCCTTACTGGTATTAAATATAGCATGACATGTCTCTGGCTGATTCTGAAAAATGAAACATGAAAGATACTTTAATACAACAAAACACTGAAGGTATTCTTTTGGATTACTATGAATGTTGTTTAAATACATTGTGCAGCACTGAGTATGTTATTTACTGAAATTATACCAGCATTCCCTGGAAACCTTCTTATATTACTCTTGATTTGAGAGATTTATTTAGTGGGTGGTTAGAAAAAATAGCCTTTGACATTAACATTTTTTTTGTTCTGAACGTAAGAATTTGATTAAGTAGTCAGTGGGGAATGTTGGGCCTAATGAGATGGAGCTGGACCCAATACTAAAGAATGTAATAATGCTGTTTAAGCCTAAAATGTATTTTTCAAAATATGCCTGTCATACAAGTTCTGTGCAACTTAGTTTTGCAACTGCTCTTCAGGTATTTTTTATTGTTGGTGTGTCTATTCACATTATTTGTTACATTTGTGCTGATAATGACTGAAGCTCTTCATCATTCTGTATTCTTCATGTTGTTTTTTTCTGCTTCTTGACAGAATATATTCAACAATCACATGCTTGATGTAAATGTTCGATGGCTGGCTGTTTTATACTTCAAGAATGGGATTGATCGCTACTGGAGACGCGTCGCACCGCAGTGAGTTTATTTTCTGTAGAAATTGCTTCCTTTGCTTTATAGTTGCACACAAAAAATAACACTCTTGATTTTGAATACTCTGGTGTCTAAGCATTTCATATGTAATCAATTTTAAAGCTTAGTTTTGTCTTCAGGTTACCACCTTTCACTGAGGCTGGTGTACATCTTTGTAAACAGTGTCTGAGTTCTTCCATAATTTTGACCAATTTTTCTGATGTACAGATCCACAGTTCTTTGATATTCAACATTTTCTTTCCCTATACATGTGATAGTCAACATTTTTTTAAAAAGGTATTGTTCCAAAAATAAAAGGGGTAGGGAAATAACTGCTGTCACCAATTGTAATGAAGGTTGTTATTAAATCAATATTTAATGTCTTGTTATGAACTTACTATGCATATGTATTTTATTTTCTGGCACAGCTTAATAATAGAGTAATGACCAGGTCCAAATGAAGGCCACACAGATAACTATGAACAGAGCCAACCAAAATTTCCCTATTTCAAACAAGGTCATCACTAAAATAGTAGAGAGATTTGTAGTCTACAGACTCCACAATAAAGGAAATCAGGAATTTAGACATAAGACGGAAAGATCTCTTCTATAATGAAGTTCTGGACACTTTCAGACTTCAGTTTACCTGGACAGAATCTGGTTTCAAGTCTAATTGGAAGGAGGTGCATCCTCTCATGGCACAATCTTCTGATGAAGATGATGGTGGTGATGTGTGTGTTCTTCTTCCTGTCCTTGGTTCCTCATGTTTGTGCTTCCCTGTCTTCTATATGTGCATTTGTTACTGGCTTTATGCTGTGGTCTATTCTTATGGAGACCAGATTAATAAACTCACTAAAAATGTCCCATGCATTGTTGAATATTTATGTTTTAATATGGCATTAAATATGTATTTAATGCACCAAGGATGTCTTCATTTAACCTGATTGAATGATTAGCAACCCTTTAATTATAAATATCTTCACCATGGCAGTTGTATAAAGTTGCTAAATACCTTGTGGCGTGAAGGTTGATCCTAGGACAGGGGTCAGCAACCTTTCAGAAGTAGCATGAAAAGAGTTAGTTCATGCACTTGGTTTTTATGGATTTGCGTGTCCTGGATACTTTTGTAATTTCAATAATAGCCTTATTTTTACAAGTTATTTATCATATTTTGATTCATAAAATTGTTAAAATGTAATATGTAAATGAATATGCACATCTTACCATTTAATGTGATCCTTACCCTTACGTCTGTTGCTGAGTTCTCGAGTCTCAGGCTCCTAGCTTTACACTAAAGTGTATTTGCAGCACGCAAGCCTCTGAGCGTTCAGTGTACCGGCAACGGGAGGGACAAAGAACTAACTTCATGTGTGACAAGACCATCTTCACAGAGCTATGTTGATCCAAATGCTGAGAGTGGTGAAAGTGCCACTTTCTTTAAAAATTAAAACTTCACTAGAAGAGACTTCCAGGTGGTCATGATAGAGATGCTCTAATCGCGAATTCAGTAGCCTCAAGTGTGTTTTGCAGATCCAGGAACTTGAAGAGAGGCGATTACAAGATGATGTTTGAATCCTTAAATGCACTGACAAAGTCAGTCCAAGGCTCCTCTTGTGAATCAACAGTGAGAAACATAGAGTGAAACACATTGGAGGTTACAAGTGGAAACTATGAGAAAGTGCCTTTTAAACTGTGAGCAATAGGCACTTGTTTATGCAAAGTATTGCGAGAATATGGATCAAGCCACCCAGCCATGTTGTCAATCAGTTAACTACAGCAACCACATCGACTAGATAGGCTCAATGGGTCGTCTAGTTTCTAACTTGTTGAGCTCTGTAGTCTAGACATTGTTAGTGTGATTCAGGGCTGTGTTGTTGGCTGACTGTAATTGGGAGTTTTCAAGTGTTACCATACAGGTCAGTGGAGGTTTGCTGAAAATGGTTAAGATATCTGAATCACTGTGTGGTGGGAGCCCCTGTAGTTTGAAGCTGTCATCATTTAGAGTGCTCGTATCCTCCACTAATTCTGTGTTAGATGCTGAGCAAAAGGAGTAATTTTGTTTTTGTTTTTCTCTCTTGTGCTTGTATGAGGGTCATTAGTTGACTAATGTGAGGCACAAGAAAAATAATGGGAAATTACAACAATTTTATTAAAAATCTATATTTAATACCCTTATAAGTTAATGGTGATAGTTCTGTTGTTGTGAGATGAGTATTAAGTGAACACTTTTTTCAGAATTGCCCTTGTGAGAAGAAACGATGAATTTATCATGGTTAACTGTTGCATAAACAAGAAAATGTACCTGTCCTTATCAATAGTAAGTGCTGTTTTTATTCCCATGCTGGGTTTATGTATTCATAAACTAATTTCACAAATGAGAGGCAGCACAGCTGGAGCAAAATCTATTAGAGCCATAATTAACAAGCCCACAGAGATGGAATTTAATTTCCATTTTCCTTGCTGTACCCCATGAGTGTACTGCATGCTGGTTCATTCCCAAAAATCTTTTTAGATATATCTTTCACTTGCCTAAGTAAGGTTGTGTTTTCTCTGACCTCAACTCAGAATGAACGGTTAAAGATTTATCTGAAAATCCGTTAGATAAACAATAGCTAGACGATACCAACTATTAGCAAACACTTGTTAAGATTACGTATATACATATTTTTCTAAGTACAGATAAAGATATTAGCTGTTCTATTTCAACAACATTATTTTGTTATTAAGAAATGCCCTTGTTGCACCAATGAGAAAAATGCAAAAGAGAATTCTAAAAACATGATCAGTTTTACAGATGACAGAAAGAGCGAAAGTGATCTTTCAAGTCCATGGAGGTCAAAATATATTTATGGACAGTTCTTTTCTAGAAAAACATTGCAGCGAGTTATTCATCGAGATGCTATTTATTGAGAAAAAAAGCAGAAGAAATTTTCTAAACGTTCAGTTTAGATCGGTTTGGAAATGGGAATCAGCTATTCTTCTCTCTCTCAAACTGATACCTGATATTAATAAATGGCCGTTCAGCCTCTTTTGAAGAAAGACTGAAATCAGTATTTTAGCTGTTGGTGTTCATAAGTAAGCAAAGGCAGGATTCTTTCATTACATTGGCCCAGATGACGTTTGATGCAAATTGGATGATTTCATTTCCTTTTGCGTTGTTTGCTTTTTGAGGTGTTTTGTGTCACATCCAGTTTTGACTTATAATTACACGCTTCCCAAGTAAATAATGTTTGCAGGTTATATTTTTTAATTTTTTAACAGGTGATTTTTTTTTCCATTTAGGACTGTTGAAATGTTTCTTGCATATTAGCAATTAATATAATGTCTTTGGGCTGTGGAAGGAAATCAGGCTCTCTGAGGAAATTCACGGGGAGATCATACAAACTCCACAATGCCACCCCAGGAATCGAACCCAAAGTCTCAGCGCTGTGAGGCAACGATGTTCCCCACCGAACCTCCATGCGAACCCAAGTCTTAAACATTTTGTATTAAAATTGACTGTTACTGGTACTATCTGTAGTATCTTTTATATTTTTAATTACTGCTGGGAAAAACAGTCATTTGTAAGTAGCCTATGAATCTCGCAATTACCTGACTTGTTCAAAAAACTGTCGACCCATCCCAGCTTTTGTGATGAAAAAACAAAATGAAAACTTCTAAGGAGTATGTAAGTAATTATATTGTAATAAAAACCAGTTTCAGTATGGAAAAGTCCTCCGTTAACAACAGTTAAAACACACTTGGCCCAAACTCTGTTCAACTATTCCACGCAGTAGATGGGCTTGCTATGATTGAACTGAACTAATGTCACAGTACCTTCTGCAAAAATCTGGATTTAAATAATCTAGGAAGGATACACTCTTAACATCATAGCTGATAAATGAAAACGCAAAGAAAAGCCATCAAATACTTAGCTTCCCTCTGGCCTGCAAATTTATCACAACAGTTCCTCACTGCACAGAAGCAGTGTAAACACCCTTCACACCAGAATCTAATTGCCCCTGTTAGGAGTCGAGTAATTCCATCATCATCTGTTCAGCTGTGAATGGATCAGAGCAGAGCAGAATTTGCAGTGTTCGCACTAGAAACAGTCGCAGATAGCAGATGACATTGGTGAGCAGAGCCGGAGGGTGATGTTGGGCAAAGCAAAACTCTTTGCAGAACTTAGGTCATGTGAAAGAAAATTTAGTCTCCCAGAGGAGGTACACCCACTGACTGGCTATAGCAATTTCTCTACTACTGCTCAGACTCTAATAATACCCTATGCTGTAGGGCAGGTTGAAAAATTAATGTTATTCTGCTGCAAGGCTTCAGGATTTGCATTTCCACTGTGATTAAAAACAAAATAGTGTGAAAGCCCTTGTGCAATAGGCAAAAAAAAAAAATCTAAATCAAATAAAAAGGCAGGCAAATGGGATTCTTAAATATTTATTTACAGTTAAATCATGTGCGAATACCTGTACCAGTTGAGCTAATAATATTTTAAATGGTTCTGAATAAAAGTGCAGTTTACAGCTAGAGCTTTGCTGGTCGAGACTAACACGCACTTCTATAGTATTTTTTTAAAGCCTTAAAAAATCGCAAACCACTATCTTAACTACAGTATATTGAAGAAGATAATCGAACAACTTGGAGGCTTGGCTGTAGAAAATGTATTAAAACTAAATAGTGATGAGATTCTGTATGTGATGTCTGTATTTAAATGTAGATTGGATGCAGGTACATGAATGCTGCAAAGCCCTTTAAAGAGAATATCATACTGAAATGAGTGAACTTGAACACAACAGTACTTTTGCCTTACAAAAGTAAGCAGTTTTCTGTGGGTTTAAAAGGAAAGGTTTAAAGTAAAAGCTTCCTAGAACTGACTTTTGGCTAATGCAATCCAAGAGCCAAAATTAAAAGGCATTGTTTTCTTCATTTTTAGGCCTCTGAAATATCCTGGTATTATCAGGGCGAGTATACTCCATGTGTGGTTAACTACATGCCCTCTGGAATGGCTCCACCTGTGATGAGTGTGTCTTGTGTACTGCTGTTCTGGGATCAATTGTAGGTCCAGATTGCATTCCTGTTCAGTCTTATAGAGGCAAAAATACCCCTCAGAAAGCCGAGGCTTTTCTTTTGACTATAGAAGACCGAAAATACTCAGTATTTATTGTAGGCTATAGATCATAATGAAGAAGTCCCTTGTAATGGCACTGCATTGTGGTGAAGGAAATGGAAAGGGGCTGAAGAGCCAAAGGTTGCTGAGAGAGTTCATTATGCTTTACAGCTCTGTTCCGGGTAATGTTGGTTTTACCAGCTGGGCCGCTGTGTTTTGCATTCATGAATAAATAAAGGGATGCTTGAGTAAAACCTGACAAATCTTTAACTCTAACTTTCACGTTTCCCAGAGCTATGAGAGATATAACCTTTCTTAAATAAATGCGTACACTGCAGTGAAAAGTATTTAACATAATTAACAGAATTGCTCATAGGAGGGAGGAGAGGATATTTTTTACCTTTATGTTTTGGCCACCATTCATGGCCACTGCGTGTTTTATTAGCCTAGCTGATGTGCTTGCAACTACACTATCTCCAAATCAAAATCCTGGCAGGCCTTCACAGGACAGCCCGTTACAACCACGATCCTGCCATTCTAAAGTGATTATCTGTTCTTTCAGACATGGTGATGGTGGGCAGGTGGCATATGTAAGGGGAGTAATTCTTTTAGGAATGTTTTGTTTGCTTGGGGTATGAGATGTTTCTAACTGGAGCTGATCTCTCCCTTGTCTGCAGTGCTCTTTCAGAAGAGGAGAAGTCTTCCTTACGTGCTGGCCTCATCACCAACTTCAATGAGCCAGTGAATCAGGTTAGTGGCTAAAGCAGATGTTCTTGATGTTTACCTCGAGCTTTAAGGGCATCAGATAAGCGGAGGAATCGGTTGTAACTTCCTTACCTTCGCTGCACTCCACTGCAGGTATGCTGTCTCAGTTCATTCTCAGTACTGTGTTCTAAAAGGCATACTTTATTAGGTTAGATTAAATGTTTTTTATTTGAGACTGGTAGCTCTCACCATTTTTTGAACTGCAGATTTCTTGATAAAACCTTGTCAAAAATATTATACTGAGCACATTTTTCTTTTCCATATTTTTTCACATTCAGGGTTTCCGCTCTGTGTGCTGTTGTTGGAGCAAAAAAAAAAGGCAGGAGTTTAAAAGCCTCTCTGAAACTTCAAGAGCTCACGTTTCATCTGTCAGTAGTGATGTAAATGAGGCTTTTTATCAGTAAAAGTTATTTAACAGTAAAAAGATGGTGTTAACTTTAGTTTAACTTTTTTTACAGCTGAAATATTGTTCAATGGTGGTTTTCTCAATATAACGTTGCATTACTCTTTAGGGTGTTATAATGCTATTGTACTGTAAGCGTTGACGTATAATTTAATATTTCTATCAGCGTAGATAATAAAGTAAAGAATTCTGGCATGAAGGTCTTTTTGTACCAAATAGTCCCCAGTTCTATGAATGTTTTCTCTTTCCACCTGTCTACTAGCTACTTGCAACCTCTTCTCTTCTATCCAGGCTTCAGTTTATGTGGTGACCAGTTGTCTATTTTTTAACTAGGTCTGTTCATTATATTTTCAATACAATACAGTGGGATGCTTGTTATTGCTGTTCCTTGGGTTCAGTTCTGGAAGGGGGGAGCCTTTTGTGTGGGGTTTATCAATTCTCCCTGATTTTGCATAGGATTTCTATGGGTACCTGCTTCCTCCTGCCTTTCATAGCCGTACTGGCTTGGTTAAATGGCTTCTCTAAATTGTGTGCTTGTGTGTGTACCCTGTAGTAGACTGGAGTCCCATCTCACCTTGTGTGCTTTGCTTTGTGGACTCTGGCTCTGGGCTACAATGACCCTTACTGGGAATACGTGTCTTTCTGGGTGATACATACTGTAATAGTTTTGTTTTACACTACAAAAATAAATGCAGTGTTCTTTCCCACTGATAAATGAAGGTATTTATGGTATTATTAATCCATTATTGGATTTTTTCTTTTTGTGCTCAATTTAAGCATTGGGTTTTTGGGGGATTAGTGCAGAAATTTGTCAGAATGCTTAAGTGAAAAATGTCAACCTCTAAACCTATATTAGTCTCTATTTTTTTCTGTTGCTGAAATCTTGCTGCTGTAAAACAATATATGCTTATTACATATATATTTATTATTATTGATTCCTATCGCATTCAACAATGTTAGTAATTTTTTTTTCCATAAATAACATTTTTGTTTGCTTTGCAAAGTTTTTCCAGTTTTAGGAAGTTTCTGGTCTTAATCTGGTAAAATGACCTGGGCAAAATACCTTCTTTCTGTCTAATGAAACTAAAATAAGACGAGAAATGTATTACTTTCCTTAAAAAAACAAAAGTAGCTTTTACTGAGTAAATACACTGTATCTAGTAGATGAACTGCTTTTTACATGCTTTTACCTCATCATAATGTTATCTGTAGTAACTATGGTTTGCACTGGAATAAATAAGAAAAATGTAATTGTGATCTTGGTGTTAAACACATAATTAGGACATAAAAATGTAATTTAATAATTAAAAATAATAACATGGTATTAACATAGTAAATATTTACTAAACATAGTTAATCATTTCAGATTTGATAGTATAGTCTACAAATTGTGAGGAGTGCTTTCACTGTGAAAACTTATCAAAGAGGTGTTCATTTAAAGCAGCTCTTTTATGGTGTGATACAAGCATCATGAAATCAGTCAAATCTGATTGGAAAGGTTTAGAAACTAGCCAGATGTAGACTGTGGCTCTCCAGGGCTCCAACTGCCTACTGAATTTTATACCGTAGGCCATCCTTATGGCTTGTAAAGTACAGCATTGTTTTTCAGTTCAGTGAGGAGTAAACTGGAAGGCTGCCGGGCTATTTGCATTTTCATATCCAAAAGAGCTTTACATTCCTTCATTAAACAGGTACACAGCTTCAGTCTGTAGAAATTAATAATTAAAGTTTATGATGTAAAACATTCAGGAGTGTGACACTCCAGGAACAGACGGGCTCACCTTATTTTCAATCTGCTTCTCAGTGAGCAAAACTTTACTTGTCTCTTACGTGTCTTTATTTTATGTGTCTCTTTTAATGCAAATGTATATGAAGCAATATAACTTTGTATGGGATTTATGAAGTACAATTTAATTGATAAAGTATTCATGGTCTTCCCCTATTATGCAGAGACACGTTTAATCTTGTTGCATTTTAAATATGAGTTTTAAAATTTTGCAGCTGTTCTGAAACCTAATGGACAAAAGGTAAGGTGATAATGTAAGACGAAGAGCTCTGACCATATCAAAGTGCTCTAATTAAAAAACAATGCGTGTTATGGCAATGTAGGATATATAAACGATCAGGACTTAACACGTGACTTTTTCAACCCTTTTAGATTGCAACTCAGATTGCAGTCCTGATTGCCAAGGTTGCCAGGCTGGACTGCCCTCGACAGTGGCCTGAGTTAATCCCCATTCTCCTGGAGTCTGTGAAAGTTCAGGATGGCCTGCAGCAGCACAGGGCCCTGCTGACGTTCTACCACGTCACCAAGACTCTGGCCTCCAAACGGCTTGCGGCAGACAAGAGGCTTTTCCAGGATGTAAGTGAGACGCGACATCTTCTGATCTCTCGTTTATTTTGCTGATGCTTTCATCAAAAATCTGTAGCCATTGATACATCTGGCCTTTCTGCTGGAGCAGTCTGACTGAAGTACCTTGCTCAAGGAAAACAACATCAGTTCCCCACTTGGGATTTGAACCCACAACTATCTAGCTTGCAGTCCCAGAGGCCTTGAGAGTTGCTTCACACTGCTGGTGGACATTCTGGTGATGATAGTACATGTTTTCTCCTGCTGTGTTTAGGTTTATGTAATGAGGCATAACTTGGAAAAATAAAACAAGGGTAACTCCCGTTATGACAAATTTTTGAACAAGGATATAGGTCTGGTGATGGGCTAATTATTGATATTTAAGTTCAGACATGGGTAGGTAGATGTGGTTAATGGTTTTGTCTCTACAACAAAGAAAGGACTTTTCATATTAAAAGTAGACATTCGGGCTCACTGGAAGGTCATGTTTTCAAATCACAGTTGGGGAGCTGCTGTTGTTTCCTTCTGAAAAATACTTCACTCAGATTGCTTCAGTAATATACAGTATCAATATATCGGTAATATAGCCAATTGCATAAACTAAAACAAAGGTAAGTCACTTTGGATAAAAAGCATAAGTCTTATTAATCACAATTGCAGTTTATTATTTTCTTCTTGAGACTCACAGAAATTTTAGGCTTATAGTTAATTGAAGCTTAAACTTATCCTGGAAGGTAAACAAAATGTATTGTTTTATTATTAAGTTTTCTATACTTATGAAATTATAGTGTGAGGACAGCATTACGCAGACGTTTCAGCTCTGTGACTACGTCAGTACCTTACATTTGAAATTTGTTCATTTGTCGCAGACTGTGGTAAAAATAGAACATATTGATCAAAGGTGTTAAAACCAACAAGTGCCCATTCCTGCATAAGAAAGTCTTGGTGTTAATGTTGACACCCTGGTTACGTTCAAGAAGAAAAACTGTGCATGAAATGCGGAGATTTGATTTTTTTCTGTCACTTCAACACAGAAAGTTAGGAATTAATTTAATGTATTTTTGTAGACTTTTGTTATTTGTTTTGCAGTTTTGGAACTGATGTTCAGTCTAGTTTAAACTTAAGTTGGTTTTTATTTCTAGATGTATATGTTATCCTGGTTAGAAACATGTTCTTACCCCTTCTTGAACACATTGATACAACACAAGTTTAATTAGTGAGTTAAATTAATTGCCTTTTTGTGGTGAAGTAAGAATCTGAATCAAAGGTAGCATTTTCTGAAATGTTAATATCCATACAGCAAATCCACTGTTGTTCATTTTATAACAATATTATTTTGATTGTAATTATCTTGCCCTTGACTGTTAGCATTTTGCTACTTTTAGTTCTCTAGTTGATTTAAAATTAACCACTGATCTGATAAATATTTGATCTGTGCAGTACATTTTTTCTGCTCCTGTTCCTTTTCAGCATCTATACTGCAAATGAAAACCATAGATCTGCATCACTTAATTTAGCTGGGTCTTGATAGTATGTAGTCTTTCTGATTCACCTTGTTATACGGTTACTAAAAAGAGATTATTCAATTAGATTCACTCATTTCTGAATATAGGCCACTTTAATTTTTCTTGGTTCACTCAAACATATATTATGCATTTCAAAGGAAAATAAAATTGAGCAGTCGGTGTGCCTTAGTGACATTTTATTTCCATTACTCTTATGAAACTATTACCTTTTGCAAAAGAGTGTATATCATCCTTTCAGTAACAAAGACCACTTTCAGAACCTCAGCTGATTCATTGCTTTTCATTTCAGTTCTACATCAGAGCTCTTGACATCAAAGGGATCAGTAAAGACTTCTTAGAGAAACGGCATCATGGGAAGGGTCGGCTAGGAAACTCGTGCTTTGACAAGGAAACTATCACGAATGCCTAGATTGAGCACTAAACCGTAAAGGTTGGTCAAAAGAGCTGTGGACTTTCTGGATGGAAATTAAATATTCAACTCCTGAGGGCACCCCTTTTTGACAAGCATATACAGTATGGAGGTACTATCAGAAAAGTTTGTAGTGCCTACAGCAAAAATGGATGTAGTAGTAATTTATTTGGATGCGGATAAAGGAGAAAGTGTATGTACAAAGAAACAACATTGCCTTTTTAAGGCATGGAATTAATCACCAGCATTTTTCTTTACAACACTGATTGTGGAATTGTTAAAAATGCGTGAGGACTTCAGCAACATTTTTCTTTTTTTAATACAGTGGAGTATTATTCACTGTATACACCGATTCAAACCTGACCAACCCTGCCAGAGCCTGGGCGAATCATGATTGGATAATGACATATTTTAGACTCAGACTTGCAACATCTGGACTCTAGGTTGGATACGTTCATTATTTAATACTAAGTAGTATCCCCAGCGATACCCAGGAGTCTTTTGGGTTAAAGGATTATAATAATATAATGATGACCCTAAACACAACTATACTGAACATATAATGAACTTGTAGAGTTGAGAGGTTTATTGCCGCATATGGATATACACTGGAATTCTCATTGGCGTTGATCTTTCAGGACATACACAGTATATCAGATGACTCCACACAATGAGACAGTACATTACAAACATAATCAGTATTAGCAACCAGAACAATAAATGTTGTGGGAAGCAATACATAAATACTATTGTAAAAAAAACACATGGCAGTCCATGCAAAAAGTGCAGAGTACAGAGGTGCCTTGAGTTCTGAAGCACAGCAGCTAGCTAACAAGTACACCCTTGTTAGAATGGACTCTGATATAATGGAATTCAGTTAAATCAGACTGAGTCTGGTCAAATCATTCTGTTCTGTTTTTGGACATATCCGTCTATGACTGTTGTAAACGAGGCATGTTCACTTGGTTCCTGATAATTGTCTGCCTTTGCTTTTAAGTTCTATACAATATTTGGGCACTGTACCGATTATATAAACCACATATTGCATTATGTAAGAGTTGTAAGTAGTACTATAACATTCTTTGTCATAAATGCTAAATTTGTTTTAATTTAAAACATTAGAGTACATTTTTAATATACACATATACTGTTATATCACAAACAGCAATGTCTTAACATACTTTAAATCAATAGCCAGCCAGCCTGCCTGTCATTGTCACATTCATACAGTATCGCATTATGAAATTCAGTGTCTTGCCATGCAATCTGAAAATGATATAAAAGTGATTAAAACTGCAGTCTGAAAATGTTATAGTGGTTTTGATATTGCAAACTTAAATGACTTTGTCCTGAAATGTGAAATTAGCTAAAAGACAAATGATTTATTTGTGTACATAGGGTAAAGTGTAAGTGTATGGTGCAAGAGACTGTTGCTAGATACACTGGGCATCCATACAGTTTTCTTTTAAATTATTGAAGGTACTGCATTTGATATGAACCCTAAAACATGTGGTCACATACAATATTCAAGCCATATACTCTGGACTTCCGATTTTGTCGGACACTCTTGAGTCTGTTTACTGAAAAGCAGTGCTATAGGTAAAACTTACAATTCAGTTTCTTATAATAAGACAAATAGCACTCGACAGGAAAAGCTCTTCACTGGAGCCTTAGATCTGTTGGATTACATATCTTTAGACTTGTTCAAGGGATGATTTTACAGACAATGGACTTTGGCATAGGCAAAGAGAAGCACTGCAATTCCCGCTGATGCTCTGAGCCTTAATTATTATTCTTCCTCTTCACTTCTCTAATTATATTAAGCGGCAAACAAAAGACTTCTGGGCTTCAAATGAAGATCAGGATTATCTAATGGCGTAATTGACATTTTGATTGCCAGTTTGTTGGTAGCTAATGTTTTCAGATCTGTTCTTGATCAGTATTAATTTTCAGCTCTCCATTCTGTTTAAAATATTGGAAGTATTTTTTAAAAGTAATTAGTGTTTATACTTTTTATCTTTTTCAAATAAATAAGATGATGCTTGATATAAAAGCATTTCATGTATGTTTATCAGATTATCCTCCTCCTCTGTTTGTATAGACAGATTTGAGCAACACTAACCCTCAAACAGCATATATTCAATATTTTGCAGCAGAATTTATTGAAACAGCCTAAATAGAAACCTGACTGCAGCCCAAGCCCATTTGTAACTGCATGGTGAACATCTAGAGTATATTCTTGTATGATATGAATTGCTCAAACAGAATCTGCTTGTATATACTCAGCTGCAAATTGAAAGTTTGATTTCAGCAGATCCAAATTGTCCTGAAATTCACCTGTGAAAAAATAAGAAAATTAAAGAAAAGAAATGTTAAGCAAAATATTAGTATCACTGGATACTATAAGAAGAACTAAATTGGCAAATAATGTAACTTGGCAGAGCTAAAAGCTGATAATTTCGAAGGTATTTTTACATTGTGCTTAACTACACACCTTTATTGGTAAAAGTACAAAACCATTAAGAATGTAACATGAATACATTTTTGTCTTCAAATGCAGCATTGGATCAAATCCTCTTGGTGGTGCTGTGTTGCTTTTTGTGCCTGAACTATGTATTTATTTCTCATGCAACAGTGAGTGAAGAAAATCGGTTTCTGAACCTTGTTTTCATGACATTTTTGTTAATATTAAGACATGTTGTGTAATTGAGCTGTAATGTAAAATGTTGTGATGTAGCATTTGTTCTCAAATTATGAACATATTAGGCTTTTGAATTTAAGTTAGAAGAAATTAAGCTAACAATGATACAATAATAGGTAAGAAATATCCTGAAAATTTAAACTGACCAATTAAATTCCAAAAGGCTGCTGAGTCAATTTTTAAACAATAAATAAGAACATTCATTACCTGGTTCTGATACTTCATCCAAACAAGTATGAATGAGTTTGACTTTCCATCATTGTTATATTTTCTAGATATATTTGTGGAAAGGGAAACTGGAACCTTTTAAAGCCATTACACATTTATTTAGAACATAAACCTGTTTTGCTATCATAGAATCCTATTTGGAGTGGAT